AAAATGTAATTTAACAGTTTAAAATGTTCATAAAGTAATTAAGGTACATGTATCTCATCAATTCAGGTAAAATAACATGGTTTTCAGATTTCTCATACCCTGTCATTATGAACAATGGACTCGGCATGTAGTGTCACTTACATACTTCATAATAGAAAGACACTTGAAAAGATCCAATTAAAAATCTTTGTGAATAATATTCTTCTTTAACTCTTATCATTACATACTCAGGTACTTAACCAAATTGACGTACACTGTCAAACCAATAGAAAGAGACATTCTTTAAGAAAAAGGATGGCAACTCTGCCTGCCAATGTGTCCTGTATGCTTTCTATTAAGATTCAAGCAGAAATGAAAGAGCCTTCATTAATGCAAATTTTGATGACATATTTGTCTTTGATATCCTAGAATACAATACCAGGGGGATAGCATAAAAAAGCATTCTTCTCTTGATGTATCTTGCATAATGCTTTAACACTGTTTTAAAAATATCACAATGAAAGTCTAAAAGTTTTGACTTGACAGTATACTGACAAACATTGATCGCAAGTTTCTTTTGTATTGGGACCAGGTTCGTAAATATTGAAAAATTTCAATGGATGAGTTTTTGGATTAAATAAGGTAAAATATATATACGGTAATATGTGTTCAGGGCTAGCCAATATAATTATTATAACATATTACTACCTATTTCAATACTCCTCCTTTGACAAGAATGCTTATTTTCAATTCAAGAGAGGAAATTATAGCCCTTCATACAATTATAAGCCACTTGAGTCAACAAATTATATCAGTTTGTGAATACAATAATTTTTAAGTGTCTTCCACCTATCTATTAGTGAATCTTCTTCAAGAAAAAGTACATTCAATGTTCAGAATTCACAGGTTCTTTGGAATGAATAGGTTTTTATAAAGGTTATCTATTGGGAAACTTTACGCTTATACTTTGTCAAGTATTAACTTTTACACTTCTTTTAAAATGTCGGCAATTTTTTAACCCCTTACCTCTTTTTTACAGGAGCTCATCAGGACTAACGACATTAAAAACTGTGATGCTTTTGTGATTTGATGTATATTTTGTTGAATTGTAAGAGAACCATATTTCAAATCTGAAAAGAGATTTGGATAGGAGATATTGACCTTTAACTGATAGTAAATTTTTAGACAAATGTATCCAATTAAATTCTTATATATTAAAGACTTAAGTGAAATGAGCAGTATACAAAATTTTCATTATCTAAAGCATAACGAACTTTAAGTGTTTTAAATAGATTAGGCATTAAAAACTTAACGGCGAGATGTATTTGGTTAAAAACTTTCATATAAGGGTCATATTTCTTTAAATTTTTGAGTATTGTTTTCATAAATTTCATCTAAAAAAAATTGCAACCTAAAAAAACATGATGCCCCTATCAATTATCTAGGCAAATCTTATGTTTTTCTTGGTGCATTTGGAAAAAATCTCTTTGTCTTTTATGTTAACCTATTTTTGCTAAATCTGATAACAAAATGAAAGTTTTAACATTATTCCCCCCAGAAATCTCTTTCAAGATATATTAAACTACCAAATTATAATCCATCTTGTGACAACCAGCTGAGCAGATCACTATGACTGACAATATATACTACAAAAGCTACTTAAAATTTATGGTGTCCCCCCTTGAATTAGCTGACTCTGTCTTCATTTTTCTCTTTGAAATTTACCAGACATCATTACTGTGCATTGAAATGGAATAATTTGAAACAACAAGGATAATTCCACACCCCATTTAACAAAATTTGCTTTAAAAACTCTTTAACCTAAATTATTTTCAGATGAAAATATTTTTTTAAATCTGAAACATTTTTCTATCAATTTTTCCGCACTTAGTTACAGAGTAACCATCAAGAGGTGAGTTGTAGAAGCATAATATTGGCTGCAATGGTCCAGATCTGTGGATATTCATTTCAATACAATGCCAATACAGTCATATCACAGATCAGAAAAGCAGTCAGTTCCAGCAATAGCAAACTATAAGCTTATTAATGATATGATCAAAAATATGTACAAGTATTTTGTTTCCATTTACTATCATTCTTCTATTATTATGTCCATTCATCCTTGATCACTTACAAGTAGGACGTAAAACATTAATTTCATTTTCTTGATCATTTATAAGATGTACATTGATGAGTATATAACACAAGGGAAGCAACTCCAATTACTACAATAACAGACCACAGTTATTCTATCATATATTTGGAATAGCCTACTATTACAGCAGAAATTTAATAATCCCCTTATTATTGAAACAAAACATTGAAATTTATTGTACAATGTTACAGACTGGCAACACCAAATATAATGAAAATGTAAGGTTACAAAAGTGAAACATATTCATAATTTAGCCAACCAGGGGTTGCTAGAATTTATTAAGAGTTTTAAATGAAAGCTTTCACCTCTCTTATTAGGGACTAAAATTTTTAATAATAATGCTTATTTCAGTTTTAAATCAATGAAGACGTCAAGATGTTAGGATTACTCTTTAATTGTTACAAGACACTCAAATCAGGAATTTTAAAAATCTGTTGCACATCTCTATCAAATTCTGAAAATTCTTGCGAGGTGAAAGTGTACACCGACTGAGATCATGTCATCTATCGACTCAATGACACATGCCTTAACGATCAGGAAGAGATCACCAATTTCGATACAAACAGACTATTTTAAAAGATAAAAATGTATTTTTATCGGTATTGATAGGCTATGCTTTGAGATGCAAATATTGACCTACTTGCGAACACTGCTCGGTCGCCACTCGGCTTTATTAACCAACTCACTGAGAAATCAGTCCGCTTTAAAAATGAATCTCCGATATTCACGATATATTGTCGTCTGCAGAATTTGTATATTGAAAACTCCTAAAAGATTTATTGTAATTGAGATTAGTTCTAGAGAAATAACTGTCCTAAAAGTCAAAAAAATGAAAAATACATGTTTGTTTATTTCTTCTCCGGGCACCTGTTCCTCCGCTATTCATCCGCTATAATGGCTCGATGATTTCTACCATCCCTCTATCCAATAAGTTAGGTGAGTAATTTTTTAGTTAATGGCAATATTTTTCACATTAAATGATTACGGAATCTAAGCCAAAGGCAGAGATTATTTTATTTAGCCAAATCTAATGATCTCAAGGGATCAACAGACGAAAGAATTTGCTATTTCATTCTTCAAAATGTCTTCTTCTTCACTCCCTCTTTCCACAAACAACTTCGTGTGTAATCTTTATTCAGGCGAGATTATCACATTTCGTCTCTTGTTGTGAACATTTGCCACCTTAAAGGCATGTTCCTAATGTTAGAATAAGATGTTAAAGCATCAAAAGTTGAAATTAATGATTTTAATGGTATTTAGATTTATTCATCCTTTGTCAATCGTTCTCTCCGCCATCTTGCTTTGGTAGAAACGATTACAAAGTGCTACAAGTAGTTTTGAATTGGAGATGTGCGTCAATAAAGCTTGTGAAAACTATTTCATTGTCTAAATTTGGCATTTATATAGATTTACAGTTAAAAATAGTATTTGCACACAATTCAAAAATCATTTTTATTTTATTTTTACTTCCAGGTCGATACATCCAAACATTATTGACACAGGCATTTGAAACACGATGTCCAGTAATGAGCAGACTCCAAGACTGCATCCATCAACCATGGATGCATTTTATCAACAACAGGTTCATGCAGGCAGTTCCTTTGACAGGTTTCCAGCTTCTTACCAGAATCCAGCCATGACATTTCCAGGTTTTCCACAAACCTCATACAACAACTTCATTCCATCAAGACAATCTTCAAACACATTACCAAGCATTGGAAACTTTGCTGACCCGTTATCGTACTTACCTTATCCATCTCATTTAGGATCTTCACATTCCACGGATAGACGAGAACCATTACCAGAATTTAGCTCTATAGTATCATCCATGAGCGAAGGTGTGCCGAAACTCTTTCCTTATCCTACACAAGACCAACAGACTAAGCGTCACAACTCTTCAATTCCGAACAGTCTTGCTCATTCGTATGTCACACACGTGCCACAAACGGATTCTATGGATCACTCAGAAATAAGTCCATCGCCTTCTCCAGCTCTATCTCAAACCAGACATCCCATCCAAAAATCTTATACCTCACAACAGTATTCTCAACATCCTACTAATTATAGCCGATATCCAGACATGTCCAGTCACAGACTTCATTCCGAGTCAGAAATAACCTATGCCGCTCCCCAGTCTGTTTCACCACATTCTGAAGTGAACAGATACGGCACACCTACCAACCTTTCCATGTCTGCACCAAATGAACATAAATATGACTCTTACAAAAACATTCCTTCGTCCTTTCCGCGGGAACCATATCCACTTCAGACGTCAGGTGCGGATGATGATCGACTAATGGAAAAATTGAAACATCCCAAGAAGGCTAGAAAGAGGCTGTCACATCCAAAACCAATAAAAAAGGATAAACCGTTCGTAGCTTTCAATCTGTTAGGCAAACTGGAAATGGGCAAGACAAAATCTAATCCGTCCATTGAGAGTCGTGATATCGCGATTCAAACAGACAAGAGTTTGATGATAAATGATTTGAATATTGCCACACTGAAAAGAAAAATATACAATAACCCAGCTCCAAATACTACCAAGGAAGCATCAAAGGACAATAAAGAGGAAACTACGCCAGACAACAAGCCTGATAAACCATTTAATATCCTTTCCACTGATGACATTGATGAGTATCAAAACCATAAGAGAAAACCCAACAAAGAGACAGCTAGTGAAGCCATTTCTGAAACCACTGAGGACATGGAAATCGTCAAGACGAAAAGTAACAAGATCAAGGAGCAATCAGCTGATTTTCAAAGCAAAACGCCGGAAGTACAAGGAGGTTCCTTGGAAAATGATGAGCCTCAAAAAACCCTTATACCAAAAGTACCACTACCGGAGTTGGGAAATCTTGCTCCGGGAATGATCAATTCCTTACCGTTGGCGGCTTTCAAAGGCAAAGATAAAGATGCAGAAATGGAAAGAATGGAGATAAATGTCCGTATAGATGACTCTCAATACGTTTCAGTTGATGATGGTCCTAAACGCTGGAAATGTAACCAGTGCCCCAAATCCTACACAACTAAACATAATCTAGTGACCCACGTTATGGATCACAATGGTATCAAGCCTCATTTATGCATGATCTGTGGAAAATATTTCAAACAACTCAGTCATTTAAACACTCATATGTTGACGCACGAAAACATTAAACCTAACATTTGTCCAATATGTGGTAAAGGATTTACGCAAGTGAGTCACGTAAAGAGACACCAAGCTGTCCACACTGAAAATAAGCCCCATGTTTGTGATGTATGTAATCGGGGATTCTCGTATCCAAGTGAACTGCGTATCCATAAACAAAGGCAACACATTCCAGGAAAGGAAAAATGTCCAGAGTGCGACGAGGTATTTGATAGTATAAAACAACTGAAGGACCATTTGGCTAGCCATGAACAAAGAGAAGATCACGAATGTCCGGAATGTAACAAATTGTTCCGGTATCCAAGTCAGCTGAAGGATCATCTGTCATCTCATTCTGGACATCGACCATTCATTTGCTCCGAATGTGGCATGGATTTTATTAAGGTAAGATTTGTATTGTTGTATATCTAAATCCCTCAATGTTGCTATACAGTGTTTTTTTTTTTAACCCATAACCCATTTTTTATATATATTATATGTGATATTTATATCTGTAAGATAACATTATGTTGTACATATACTAGTTGAAGTTCACATATGTTTCTAGTAACTGGTTATCTTTACATCTTTCAGGAGCACCATCTCAAAGCACATGCATTTACTCACACTGGATTGAGACCATATGAATGTCCCCAGTGTGGTCGAACGTTTAACCAGAGGGCTAATATGATACGACATCAGTTGATACACAGTAATGATAGAGCCTATAAATGTGAAGAATGTGATAAGTCATTCACTCAACCTCAAACTCTGAAAGCTCATATGGTTGTACATGCTGAGAAGAAGCCCCACCAATGTCATCTATGTGGTAAGTATTATAGTTGTTCAATAATTGAATTATCGCATTATGTGGTTCACGAAGAGTATAGTATGCTGCTACCAATGCATTACCACTATGATTTCGGGTTACGTTTTGTAGTTCGGACCATTAGTACTTAGTTTATGTATGTAATAATCATTGATTTACCCTATTCTTATTTTGTTTTAAAAGGTAAAGAATTTGGTAGACAGCATAATTTACAAGCTCATATGCACATGCATAGTGATTCAAAGCCATTCCTTTGCTTCTGTGGAAGCTCATTCACATTAAAGGGTAAGTCAAAAAAGAATCACTTTCTCAATACTGTGCGGTACACATTCAGAGTGTGCTTGCTCCCTCAGCAGACACACTGTTTTTACCCATAATTCTTCACGATTTTTTCAGATTTACGTTTTTCTGATACTTTCTTTCTGATGTGGTTGTGTACCATCATATTTATGTCTTGTTTGAGAGCAAAAGAAGGTATAATTCATGTCTTTTTTTTATTTGAGCCACAATTTGTCAAACACGATTCTTTCAAAAATTGACGACTTTCCTTTAATTATGTTATAGGTAACTTGAAAAGACACAAGAAAGTAAAACATGGTATAGATGATAGTACTGAAAGTATGGAAGAGGAAGCGGTCAGTTTTCTTAGCACCATGTCCAGTCGAGCAAATCATGGTTTGACCATCAATGTCCCACCGGAAGACCAACATGAAAGCAGTCCCGAAACTGGACTCTTATCACCAGACAGTCGTCTTCAAAGGAAGCAAAGAAAGTCCATCCCGAGAAAGATCCCTCAACCAGATTCTGATTCAGTTGAAGAGGGAGAAGATCAAGAAGAAGATGAAGAAAAGGATATTGATAAGGATGGTGAAGACAGTAATCACAGTTCGCGGTTTTTCACAGCTCTTAACCATCCCAGAAGTAGTGGTAAATTGTTAGCCATGAAGCGCTCATTTGCTACTACTCGTGATTCAGACGAAGCTGAAGATGACGACGACGACGAAGAAGGAGATACGGAGTCCATGGGCAAACCACCGAAAAAGAGTAGGAAAGCGTCAGTGACTACTGAGGGTTCCGATAATGAAGATGACTACTCAAGAAAGTATGACAAGAAGAATAGAAAGTCTCTGACCACTGATGGATCAGAGGAAGACGATGAAGAAGGTGAAGACGAAGCAGATCTGGAAAATGACAGTGATTGGATACCGAAACACATCAAACCAAGAGTAACCAAAGGAAAGAAATTGGCCTCTGTATTGGCTGAAAAATTCTCTAGATCTAACTTAAACAAATAAATTGGTGAATGTAATATTATTTGTTGGTTTCTCTTTTGGCACATGTGTATTTTCCAAGTTAGTTTATTTTTAACTCGTTAGTGTTATTGCATAATATTGGAGAACAATCCTTGGATGATTACTAGACTTTTCTTAACTTAAAGAAACATTGTCATCTGTAAAAACTATACTTAAATTTATTTACAAATTTTCCGTGTTTAAAGTGTCAGATGCGCCATTCTTTTTGACAAATCCTACTTTAGTCTCAGAAACAGGAATTTGTTTTAGCCAAGTCAATCAGTTATAGTGTTCACAGCTGGCCGTCGAAATTTCCAGATTTATCCGCGTTTGAATGTTAAAATGACGAAGTATTTTTAAAGGAATTATGCGACATTTCTAGTACTTTTGAAGACTATTTACATATTTAAGACTCAAATGAATTCCCTAAAATGGCACACCTTTCCCTTTAAAATGCTTTCAAGGAACTGTAAGCTTATGTGATAAAATCTGGGACATCCACGAACGTTTTCTTGGAGACTTTCTATGTATCCCAAAATGATAATGATAATTAGACATTGGAGACTAGATTTTCGTCTCGTATCTTTGGAATTCACGGAGTTTCAAGAATATTTTCATCATCCAATCACTTATCTGTACCGACTGCTTTGATTACACAAGTTTGGATCTGTGGGTGTCCACCATTGCTTAATGGCTGTTTTACATTTGTAGAGACAGCTAAGTGATAATAACATATGGCATAATGTTTATGTTTTTAATTTTCTAACCATGCATCTATCAATTGTGTTTGTTTATTCCTCAAAGTGAGCTCGTGAACCAAGTTCTGTCCATAACAGTATTAAGATACTGTTTCACTTTTGTTTACTTTTCTTATTTATTTTTTTGTTATATGAACTAAATTATGATAAAAATCACTATGAAATTATTTTTCTTTTCTCTTTTATTTTAATTTGGTTTGTCCTCTATGCACCCGCCCCCCTCCTTTGGTTCCGCCACTGCCTGTTGGTATCAAGATCGTTACTTACATTCTGTCATGCAGATATCATCAAAACGGTCATAGTAATTTTGTACAACCAATGTTTAAAAGAAAAATCGCATGCAAATATACACCTCTAAAAAATATCAGCTTTTGAATTATTGACATTGTCCAACTGCTGCGGTCCTGTAAACATCGTGATCGATAAATACTCGGTAAGCGTCACAATATTTCCGACTATCGTTTGGAAAACAACACGGCGTCTTTATTTGAAAAAAAAATCATTTAAATTAAGCAAAGAAATTCTTTTAGTACGAAAGTTCGATAATGTGCATTGTTCGGCAGTATCAATTTTTTTTCGGTAGTAAAAAGTTAAGACATGCGCACTGATGAAACATGTGGAAAACGATTTCCTTATTACAATAAAAATGGCGGAGGTAATGCTTGAGGTTGAAGATGGTGATGAATTTGAAGTTGATGAAGAAGGAGATCGTAAGCAATATTACATTTGATGTTTACAAAATAACTTTAATTTACTTGTGTAGAATTAATAGAAACCAAATCTTGGAAGATTGCGTCGTAGATGCTGCTGACCGCCATGATCCTCATCTTTGTTTTGATTTTCAATTTTTGATATTTGTTATTTCTGATCCCAGTTATGGTACAAAACTAAGACACAGGCAAAATGAAAGTGAATCTTAGCTAAGCCAACGTCCATCTAAAATATTCTCTAATAGAGTGTTTGTAGTTGAAAATGTTTATTACAATGTCTGCAACTAGTGCAAGTGCATGACTTTCAGCTTGGCATAATAAATAGGCTATTCATTCAGAGAGAAGTGATTAGACTTAAGTCTTAATTTCTATTTCTGTCATATAAGGTTAAATTTAACTATTGACCTGCTGTTTCTATTTCAGAGGGTTTGGTGAAACTGAAAGAAAAAGCAAAGAAAAGAAAAGGCAGAGGGTTTGGTTCAGGTTTGTAGTTATCTAAGGTTATTTATTAAAGACAAATTGTGGTTCCGTTTATTGATCTTGATGATCAATAGTTTGTGTAGCCTATATTACATGGCTTCTATTATGTTTCTGTTAGTTCAATCTAAGATTCTGGGAATTTCAAATTTTATGATGATAGTGGATGTGATTTCTGAGTAATGTTAGTGACATTGCTTGTTGAGTAATATGCTGTGCTATGGTACCATTTTTATTTTTTTGTTTGACTAATGGCTAGGCCTACAACGGCATCATAAACCATTGGCATAATAGTCACACTCGTAAGCTAGCTATATGATTAATATTTTGTTGTAGATGGACCAACAAAAAGTGGCGTGGAAGAATATGAAGGAATGGATGTTGATGATGCTTTACCAGTTGATGGTCCGGGTCCACAAAGATGTGAGTTTGACAAAGATATTTATCAAAAAATATGTGCATGCAGATAAATTTATTATAAATCTACAATTTATTTTGAAACGAAAGAGCCACTGTTGTCATACCAGTTTGTATTTGTGGGGGCATTAATGTAATTCCTATAAACACTTTGTAGTGTGAACATCAAAGAAATAATATAGAGTAGGTCTAACTATGTAATTATTACTTGATTCCTCTTAAATCCTTGTTGATAAACACTTAATTTTATTTAACAGCTGTAGAAGGTTGGATCTTATTTATAACTGGTGTACATGAAGAGGCACAAGAAGATGATATTTATGATAAATTCACAGAATATGGTGAAATTAAAAATTTACACTTAAATTTAGACAGACGAACTGGTTTTCTCAAGGTATGCTTACTTTATTGAAGTCTGGATTGGGTAAACCAAGCTTCAGAGATTAAAACCATATCCAGTGTTCGTAAAAAATTAAAACATGTTAAATCGTTCCTGAAGGAAACTTACACTTCTTAGATAGCAAATACATTGAGATAAATGATAAATCTGTTGCAAAGTGCTCCATCTCCATGACGTAATTTTTTCTTTCTCATGCAACCTTTCTTCTGGATATATAGAGAGATAAAATAGTTCAAGTATTCAAGAAAGGTCAAATGAGATATCCTAAACAGAACAGTTATTATACAAATTTGCATGCTATTGTTAACAGGGTTATGCATTGGTTGAATATGAAACATTTAAAGAGGCACAGTCAGCTATGGATGCTTTAAATGGTAGTGAAATATTGGCACAGAAAATTAATGTGGATTGGGCGTTCGTCAGAGGACCAAGAAATACTAAGTAAGCAAATACACAGAGATATTACAGCCTGATTGTTTTGGACTGCTTAATTTGATTTAGACTGATTGTTGTCTTTAATTTGAATTAGGCTGCCAATTTGATTTGAACTGATTATTATATTTAATTGAATTGGACTGATTGCTGTCTCCGATCAATTTGGACATGTGCTCTTGTCAAATTAGCTTGAACTGAGAGGAAACATAATTCCTGGTAGTTTATATGAAGTCTATAATATTGGTGTGGTATATTTCAGGAAAGAAAGAAGAGATGATAGAAGGAGAAGATAGGTTACAGTTTACTATGTATATAGATGTAAATAACTTCATTATTTTAATGAGTCATTTAAACATTCGTTAAAATCATGTCAGTCATTGTCTAAGAAATCTAAGTATGAGGGTTGGCTGAAAAGTTCTTGGCCTAATTGTGAAAGATCCATTACAGGTCGGCATGTATCTGAGTTGGCAGCACTTGCTTAGAGCTTTTTAGTCAGCACTCTTATGTGGTAACTAGCATAGTTCCATGGTATCGGTCCGAATATATTGCATATGTTTCCTATGTCTTAAGAAACATTTTATTTGTACTTGTGTATTGGTTATTATTTTCATTAATTTGTTAAGTGCATTATTTATTTTTTCTTGGAAAATTTACTTAAGCGAAGAGGATGGGGATTCCCTTGATTGATAGATTATGATGATTATTATCTTGTTCATTGAAAATTTGACTTTGGCTAGATGTGATTTAATAAATGGTTAAGAGATTATAAGACTTTGGCAAACTATATGGAGTTTTAATGAACAAAAAATATGGCTTTTGCAATTCAAAACATCCTCATTTAATGTGAATGTTTTGTCAAAGAATTTCATATAGTGTCCATTATTTAGCTGGTATGTTCATCTCATTTTAATTACTTCATTGCTTATCATTGTTGTAAATATTTTTTACAATAAAAAAGTCAAGACCCTACAAGTTGTGATTTTCCTAAGCATGCTGCCAAAGCAACCTGTATTCTATGTTTTATACAGATATGTTGATAGGGATGCATACTGTACCATGTTCCTTTAGCAACATTGTAGGACAAATGTAAATGTCTTATAAAGTTGCTAATATGATGCTGTATATGTTCAATATTAATAAAGAGTTTCTGAAAGACAATACCTTAGAATTTGTCTTCAAGATTGGGCGTTCTATTCGTTAGCTTGACAAGGAAGCTTCATTATCCATGAAAAGAAGATATTTCTTCTCCCCTTATAAATTACATAGTTGGGCTTAAAAGGACAGATTCACAATTTTTTTGACCAATTGTACCGTTGTCTCAGAAACAGGAATTTTTTAGCCAGGCTAAATTAGTATAGCAGTATTACTGTTCACAGTCGAAAATTTAAGCCTTCAAATCCATGTGTGTCCGAATTATCCAATTATCTGTGTTCGAAAGTTCAAAAGAAAACGCATATACAGATAAGAAAAGTGAAATTCCTAGTTTGAGGTATTATACGATGTTGCCATCATCAAATGTTACCACACATTTTTATAGGACTTGTGTCATTGCTTCTTCAATCTGGCCAATGTGTATAAAATTTGAAAACCAGCCCCATAAACATAACTCACACAATGTCTTTTCAGACTAATCCTCGATCATATCAATACTCAAGATTACCACACAAGCATCAAACTCCAAAAAATTAAGAAAAATACCCAGACCAGAACTGTCATTAATGTTAGAGGCTCTAATTGAATCTGATATTTCACTTGTTTTATTATAAAATAAATATATTTATTTACAATTAAACTAATAAAAATTTACATTTTAGGATAATTCTCTAATTCATAGGGTTGAGGTTCATCCCAATATTCATCAATAGGTTTACTAAAAGCATCATTTTTCCTAAATCCACTATCTTTTGTCTTGACTTGAGAAACACCCTGTTAAATAGACACAAGAAATAAGTAAAAATATGGCGTTTTATTATCATTAAAGGGATTGTGAAGAGGTTTTTTATTAAATTTTTTATGTGCATCTGGTTCATAGTTATTATCAATTAGCACCATTGCAATTTTCAATCAGACGTCGGCAGTTCCTGCAATTCCACTAAAACTAAGTGCTTGACGTCACTAATCGCAAAGGGTCTTATGTCATGTAACAGCCATCCCTTATCTCAACCTCAGTAACATGTTATTATACTTACAGTAACTCTATCTCGATGTTCAGTCCAGAATGTGACTGGTTGTTCAGTTTTGTAGTTGTGTTTCTTAAAAAAAAAAAAATCATAGTTCACCGATAATACCAGTCTCAAATTACAAAGAAAAATGAAATGAATGGAGTTTTACATCTTACTCTTCTGCACCTTGTGGGCTAATGAAGACGGGCAACGCCATGCAGGGTGCCATGAGGGAAATTTTGCCAGGACATCTTTTTCGATTTCCAACTGTCGAGGGATCTTTAACGTGCACAGCCTGTAGCACTCGGGGCCTCGGTTTATTGTCCCACCCGAACAACTTTTTCCATGTCAGCTCCTTTTAAGTCTCATATAACAGGTTGAGTTCGTAAAATGAAAATCTATAAAACAAAAACATTTGTCCATGCAACTTTCTTGTTTTGGTTTGGTGGTTTGCATTTTGTTCAATCCCTAAAGTCTCCTAAAAGAGTAAAATCAATGAACAGTAACCTAAGATCAGCTATCTGTACTTACTGATGTGTCAACGACTACTTCTTCTGGCGTGAAATCTTTTGTATAATCAACTTTTGTTACTGATCTAAAATCGGTGGCTGGTGGTGGGGGGTTAAATTCTTCATTTACTTCTTTACTAATAGATGAAAAAAAAAATAAACAGCGATCAAGGCAATGACAAACCTATCGGAATTATACATAATTGTGCTTAAAGCATGGTTAAGAACAATAAATTTGTATAATATTCATAGGATGTCAACTAAAGTAATGGCTTTCGTAAAGATAGTGGACCACAGCCATATACGCCCTTTCCGGCATGTGGATGGTAGAAACGAAACATCCATTTTAAGTTTCATCAAATTCGGTTGAAAACTAAGAGAGTAATAGCATATTCAAGAATTTGGGCCAAGGGCAATAACTCTGCTTATTACGGTTGAAAAAGGCTCAAATTTAGTTTTAGATCTTTGTTTTATGAATATGTATACACATACCGAATTTCATTTCATTTACCATGTATTACCAAGACAGATTCAGATTTAGCGAAACTAATGCTGAGTTGTTTGTCGTTACATAGCTTTTTGCTTCATGTGGTAAATGTTATAAAATCTAAAATAAGTTTCATAGTAAATGTTTTTGTTGGTTATCTTACCTTATCTGTTCATAAAGCATCTGTTCCATTAACTGTTTCTTGGCACCTTAAAGTACAATTAAAACTAAGTAAATTATAATTATGTTGCTCTATAAAACATGCTATATTTACATATCTCAATACACTACAATATTTACAATGCATATTATACTGGTACCCAATTATTACATATATCCTTTAAATGTTACAATCAATAAGTTTAAAATTCTCAAACGTGGCCCATTTTACATATAGAATAAAAACTTTGTATTAGTCAAAGAACTATAAGTTATTATTGAATTATACAGGGATTCTGTTTAGTTATGACACCAAGTAAGTCCACTGATGAATATATACTTTATATATTGGCAAAGTTCCACTTAAATTAATGCAGAGAAATCCACATAAAACAGTGCCCAGTTTTTCTGACCTTAATCCAGCTAAAGCTGTCAACATTCACAATAGCTATCAGTGGCTGAAATAGGAGCAGGTGTTTCAAACTAAGCTTTTATACTTCACTATGGTACCAAAAAAAAAAAATGCTGAATTCTATTTTAAATTCTCCAAAGAAAATGTTATATATTTTCACTGTTAAAAAAGTGCTCAATACATCAATTGTAGATTGATATAGGAATATTAAATATTTAATATTTCTACTCATAACAATATGTAAATTATATTATCATCTTACCTATTTGTCTGACATCAGGACTTTCTGGTTTTTTATATGATACTCTAAATGTGGTTAAATTTTCAGCCTTAGCATCAGAAGTTGTTGTTAATAAGCCTGGATGACCAACTCTAAATACATGGGCTTTTGTATGTTGATCTTTTCCTGATGGCTCCAAATGCGATACATTTCTCTGTAAAAAAAAAAGACAAGGTTGTAGACATTTTTAAGGGTAGGGGCAGGGCCTATTTGAACTTTTTAAACAATCAATTTTTGATGTGGTAAATACCTGCATAATATAAGGCAAAAAAATTTCTATAAGACATCCAACTACAACTCACACAGAGGATGACTTTGACAGAATGAATTGTAATACTTATTTGAATATCAACACTAGAAAATGACAAAAATATCTAAAGACGAAAAACAGTAAAACTTAGATCTTATAATGTACCTCTTCAACCCAATTCTCTAAAAGACATTTGCCACCACTGTTATTAAATCGTATTTCGTTTCTTCCTTGGTTAATAAGACTCATTTTTCAATTCGATCTATCCCTCAGAAGCAGATAACAAAACCTCTTAAAATGAACTGATACACTGGATCTGACACCTGTGTTCAATGTTGTTTACGGAAGTAGTATGGCTGCCGTAACCATAGAGAAAAAAGCTAGGCATGCGCAGCAACAGCTTAAAGTCTTTGTTATCCAGCAATAATAGAATTATTGTCTGTACAGCATAGAGTTCTAAAATAGTTATTGTATACATCTATGCTGTACAGCGGTATATTTAAAGAAGACGACCGAGGAAAGGGTTAAAGCTTGTTCTAAGCTATGGTTTCCGCATATGAAATGAAAGAGCACTACATTGCGCATCTTCTCGGCACAAAATGGTCCGGAAAAAAGAATAACACAGGGGTTTGAATGGACCCGAAATACCCCAGTGCATGGCTCCAAAGGGGTTAATGTGTCCGATTTAGTTTCAGCTAGTTTTCAGCCATTCTAGAGTTCATAGACCTCTTTTGTATACTTACAATGATACATCAGACGGTGTTTGACTTAGCAAAAAAATATTTTTTAAATAAAGCTTCGATAGGGACTCAAACCTGGGACCTCAAAGTTGCCGGGCAAGTGCGCAAACCACTGGGCTACCGAAACCTGGGTAAGCGAGGGTTAACCCTATTGTTAAGGTTGCGGGTTAACCCTAGTTTTGAAAAGCCAATTAGGGTTAGCTCAGGAAAGGGTTAAAGCTTGTTCCAAGCTATGGTTTCCGCATATGATATGAAAGAGCACTTCGTTGCATCTTCTCAGTACAAAATGGTCTTGAAAAAAGAATAACACAGGGGTTTAAATGGGCCCGAAACAATCTATACTGCAGTGGCCCCAAAGGGGTTAATGTGTCCGATTTGGTTTCAGCTAGTTTTCAGCCATTCTAGAGTTCAAAGACGTCTTTTGTATACTTGCAATGATACAGCAGACGGTGTTTGACTTAGCAAAATAATTTTTTTTTAAAACTTCGATAGGGACTCGAACCTGGGACCTCAAAGTTGCCGGGCAAGTGCACGAACCACTGGGCTACCGAGACCTGGGGTAAGCGAGGGTTAACCTTAGGGTTAAGGTTGGGTTAACCCTAGTTTTGAAAAGCCAATTAGGGTTAGCTCAGAAAAGGGTTAAAGCTTGTTCCAAGCTATGGTTTCCGCAAATGAAATGAAAGAGCGTTGAGCATCTTCTCAACACAAAATGGTCCGGAAAAAAGAAAAACACAAGGATTTGAATGGGCCCACTCCAATGATTAAGTTTATGGTAATTAATTTTATGCCAATGATTGTTTATATGTAGTCCCTGTTATTTTTAGAAATCCTCTTTCTACCCTCCCTTTTTGGTTTTGCATGCCAACTTTTGACTAATCTTTGGTCTAGATTTGGAATTTGATATCTGAGATGAAGCTAGATTTTCATGCAGAAGGATAATTTTAAAAACAGTCGTTTTGTGTGCAGACTGTCAAGCGGGTGTTGATGGCCTCACTCCACTAATTCATTTGCCATCTCTTCCCATGTTGAAACACGAAATTCAACCCTCTACAACTTTTTTTAGAAATCTCGTTGAAAGCTTTCCTATATGTTGAATGAAAGCAAGACCAATCCTCAATGTCTCCTAAATAATTCAATATATGATGACCATGAAAATGTTGAGGTACTTAATTTGAAAGTAGACTACTACCAGTTATACTCATCCGCTAGAGTGTGACAGTTCACAAAATTAGTATTATCCTTCCGCCTTTAAGTCTCTCATCATCTCAGCAAAACTTAAAGATAATGCAATTTCAAACATCAAATTCCAAATCTGGACCAAAAATTACTCAAAAATTAGGCATGCTAAGACTCTAAAAGGGAGAGAGAAAAGATTTCTCAAAGTAACGCTAGACTACAATCATTGGCAAATGTTTTCGTGGATTAAGTCTATGTGGTGGTCTACTTTCAGTTTGGCTACCTCAAGATTTTCATAGTCGTGTTATTTTGAATTTTTGTCCAGAAACTAAGAATTGGCCAGGCTTTCATGTGACATATAGGAAAGTTTTCAACGAGATTTCTGGAAAAAGTTATAGAAGGTTAAATTTCGTCATTTAACATGGAAACGGGTGGCAAATAAATTATAACAATTGAAATTTGTCGAAAGGCAATAACCTCCCTTTAAAGAAGTCGATCAGATGAATCATTCGGCGTTGATCGGTCACGTGACCGGCTTCAAATATCTTAATCGCTAGAGCAGTTGTGAAGAACGCCGGTCACAAATTTTAATCTTACCCAAATTATATCAAACTAGTACCATTATGATGCACTCTCTTGTTTAGGAGAAAATAATAGTATAGGCCTTGTAAACAAAGTTGAAACTTGAAAGGTTGGAGTTTGAAAAGGTATGTTAGAGCTTTCTTCCAATCATATCAATAATTATGCATTCTTTTTTTCATGGCGCTCATTAGACATATATAAATAGCAAAATGCACCTTTTTGGGATAGAAATTAAATTAAAATCAATTTCATTTTCTCCCTGTTTCTGTTTCCATTCTCTGATAGCTACTTTTACAGTTGTTGGCTGGATTAGAGTCGGAAAAACTAGTCCTGTTTTATGGACATTTTCCATACATCTGAAGGTGTGTTCTTTAAAGATGACTATCAATTGATGTAAAGCATCACTGATACATCTGAAGGTGTGTTCTTTAAAGATGATTGTCAATTGATGTAAAGCATCACCGATACTTTTGTTTTGTTCATATAACATCACCTGAAAGATGGTATGGATGAACTGCAAAAATATGTATCTTTCTGAATATATTTGGGCTTTAGTGATCCGATTTAGATTTAAGGGTTGAAAACCCTCACACCTAGTTTTTCTGTCTCTACACCAGCTGACTGACTAACTGTCCATATGTTATATAATTGCAGAGGTTTATTCATTAAGTGAGATAATGGTTTGATTGGTATTTTTTAGATGGACTATGGCTAGAAGATTGAAACCTGACTATAGATGTACTATTAGATTACGGTAGATATATTATGGAGAATATAAGTAGAACTGTTAGTGTTTGTGAGACAACTAATAATAATGAAGACAATGATGAACTACCTAGTAGTATCTCAGCTGATAACAGCCCTATCAGTAGTGAAAATATCCTGTTTCCCACCCATACACACAACATTGACATAGGAACTAGAAATGATAATGGTAATGGAGCTCCTAAGATTTCCGATATTATTGAAGAAGCTGTAATAACAGACGATACTACTAGACTCAAAGAAATTTTGAAGTCAACTCCCAATGTAAGCAAAGCTTTAAACAAGCAAAGAGAATCTGCTTTGATACTAGCTGTGAAATTGACAAAGTATGATATTGTAAAAGTGCTCTTAGAAAGCCATTTTTGTGACGCTAACAAATTGAATGTGAATAACTTCTCTCCGTTAGATGTGGCTCTGATAACCACATTTGATAATCGGTTAGAACCTCGCCACTCAGTTTGTTGGAAGATAGTGTCTCTATTATTGGAACATGGTGCTAAGCCTTCTTCTCGTGATGCCATGATGTACGTGGTTCGTACAGCTTTTAAATATATTGATGATCAATTCATTAATCAGTTGATTGAAATCTTCTTGAATGGTACGCTAGCACCTATTGCTCATGAACTTTTATTGGTCAAACTTCATCGCTCTCAACCAATTTATGATGGCAACACTGACCATTTTCTTATGAAGATTTCATGGTTAGCTTTAAAAATCATAAAGCAAACCGACATGGCTTCCTTGTGTGACATCATCAACAGTTTTGTATATTATGTGGATTCTCATTGGACATCTAGAGATTGTCAAGTCAGAACCCTGAGAAATTTGGTTCTGTATGCTTCGGCTACTGGCAGATCCTGGAAAAAACATGAGATTCTTCTAGTCAACAGAGTTTCAGAAAGTCTTGCCAATTGGTGCCAAAATTTACAAGTACATGTACCTTCCTTACAACATTTATGTCGAGTGACAATTCGCCAAAGTGCTAAAAGATCTGTTAATGATTTAACAGAGAATCTATCACTACCGAATTCTCTCAAACAGTATTTATTATTGTGTGATGTGGATAAGATTATTGAGTTGAACAATAGCTTGAATAATATTAATTTCTAGACCACATCTGTTACTAAGATGCAGAGATAGATGTTCAGTTTTTGGCATTTATGTGGGTTACCGCACTCAACACCTATGATCTGAGGAATTTTTTATATATTGCTAACCAATCAAAGCACAGTAAAAGAAGTCTCTCAATATAAGTCAATTATGAAAAACGATGAAAAAGCCTAAACAGAGCATGTTATTGGTTATGGCACTTACGGTAAAAGTCAATTTTGAAAAGGTGCATGTTATTGTTTAAGGCTCCAAATAAAGGTCAATTATGAAAAACGATGACAAAGCCTTATGAGAGACAGCATATTATTGGTTAAAATATTTTATTGACATGCACCACAATTTAAATACATAACAAACCGTTCCCAAAGATGAAATCCACCATAATCACCTTAAATGAATAACTGATATCCTTGGTATAAATCTACACAGATGACAGTGTAAATGTTAAATGTTACTGCATTTGTTTCTATATGATGGAAATTTGATTATGAAATAAAAAAGTAGTACGATAATATTATTGAAATGCCAATTTTTAAGCTAAAAAAGTCTTTTAAATATATATGACAATATATGTACCAAAAAGTTTGATAATTTGAATGTACTCAAAGCAGAAGATTCTTATTTCATGTTTTGGTTTTTTAAGGAATTCCTTTTGTATTATAATGGATGTTTGCTCAATTTTGATTTTATTGAAATATATCTTTCTACATTAAAGAAGGACATTGTTTATTTGATGCAAAAGAAAATATGTTATGTATAGCTTCTTTTTTTTTTTTTCAAAGATATTGGCTTTTAAGTTATAGTTAGATATTTTCTTTGTGATCAATTCCAGTCTCTTATTAGCATCTAAAAAGCGTCTAGTCATTCAGATGGGGAAATAAACAGTGGACTCTTATGCTACAGGCTGTGCATGTTAAAGATCCAACAACAGTTGGAAATCGAAAAAAAGAAGGCTAAAGCCGGCGTTGCCTGTTCTCATTAGCTCACATGGTGCAGAAAAGTAGTATTTCATAGTGTACATCTATTCCTCAATACTTAATATGTTATAACAGCATTAATTCTTTTATAGGATGTAGTCACCTAAATATTTATTATATCAGCAAATAAAACTCAATTTGAGCCATCCATATCACTTTTCAGAATTAAAAACTGACATCTGGTTTTGTTATAATCCAAGCAAAAAGACTGGTTACTTCAAGGGAGTTTATTGGCCTTCTCATGTTCAATTATCAACTTTCTTAATGACATAAAGGTAAATAAATACCCACAAGAATGTCATATAGGGCCCTTTAAGTCTCAAACACTGTGGTGTGCTTTTGTTAGATTGTAGGAGAACGGGACACAAGATATTAATTCTGAAAAATGATAAGCTAGATATATATTCTGATGACTGTATTCCATTAAATTTGATTACCTATTGTATTATATTCTTAAATGGCAAAATGATATGAAATGGCTCTAACTTTTGTTGTAAAAACCCATCTGTTAAATTTATACTAATTTTGTTTGTTATCTGTTATTTCTTACTTTTGTACTAATCTAATTTATTATGAATTATAATGTATTATTTTGTATTTAATGACTACATTATTAAACAATATTTATGTTTATAATATCTTTGTATTTGTTAATAAAAGGACAAATGTGCCATTTTTTTTTTAACCAATCATACTTTAGTCTCAGTAATGAGAATTTTTTGCCTAAGCCAATCAATAATAGTTTTCACAGCTCACTGTCGAAATTTGAGCCTTCAAATCCATGTGTGTCCAGAATTATTCACATTTGAAAGTTAAAAAGATGAGTCTGCTTTTTTGAGACTCTGCCATATTTAAAAAATACATCTATAGAAATAAGAAAAGAAAATCCTAGTTTGAGATATTTCTGAAGACTATTAACATATATTCAAGACTTAAATCAACCCCTGAAAATGGCGCATCTGTCCCTTTAACTATACTTGTTTTCAAAATGATCATTTATATAGGTGAGGAAAGATATTTGTGTACAGACTGTGGATTGAAAGCATATAGTATAAATTACTATATAATGTACTAATTAAATGAACAGCTGCGTTTATGTTTTGAACTGTGCAGAATGTGCACAAATATGTTTGTTTGACTACACTAACAAATCAAACCCTAATTTAAAACCAGTTGTCCTGATGAGGATTTTGTGTCTGGAACTTGTTACATGGGCAACTGGTAATGTGGCCAAAATTTACATTTTAGTTGGTCTAGAGATGATTGCTGTCTGCTTTTTCATCTGCATTATTTGTTTGTGCACATTGTCTATGATGTGCCTTATTCATTATTGTTTTGTTCTCTCTATTATTATTCATATGTTGTTATATAACAATAAAGAGAATACCTACCCTTAAATTGAATTTGCTTTGTTTTGTTAGCAATGACTCTAGTAGTAGGCAGTAAATACAGACTTTAGTAAACAATTATTGAAAATCTTTGATTATATGGGAATAATTATTTAAGAATTGTCTCTTAAGTTCACAGCAACAAAGTAGCCTGTGACCTAAAAATGTTTGTCTTGATTTTTTGAAATGTTCCAAATTTTCTTCTAAAAACTCCTCGAATGTCCTTGAAATAAATAAGGACTATGAACAATGAAATAGCTCCCGTATTAGGGTAGTTGGATATCAGAGCCAAAGAATTATAAAATTCATTTCATCAAGTAGAAGATATGTTATTGTAAAGGTAAAGGCACATGAACAGTGTTGGTCGAAGATTTTTGTTGCCGACTAAAGTCTTGTCAAGAGTTTCTCCGAATGGCATGGGAACATGAGGAGACAAAAATCTCCAGTCAGTTTTTCCACATAATCATGTGCGGAGCATGCAATTGAAACGAAAATAAATCTGATTGGATGATGACTGTCTGTCCTGCAGATGATAAAATTATAGAGAGAATTATGATATCATAAATACTGTTGGGAACGCGATAATTTTATCCCCTGTCCTGGAAGCATGGTCGCACACAAGATTTTAATTAAGACTCTAGTCGGCGACAAAAATCCCCAACCAAGACCTTGTGTGCACCCATCTTTAGTGTTGCAAAGTCAATTGCAGTTCATCAAGGCTTTAGATAGTTTTCAATCTGTATCATTTTGCAAAATTCAGCGAGGCTGCAAAAAAAATTCTTCAACAGAAAAAGCTTTGAAATGTCTATCACAGCACAATTTATTGTGAATAAAACATTATATTTATATAAATAAAATAGATTAAAATTATGGAGAATACGTGAATATACAATGATTGAAATGGAAGCGAACCTAAAATACTTTATTACATGAAGACATTAAGCATAATATGACATATTCTTAAAAGCATATAGTTGTTCAAATATTTTTAGCCAGCTAAAAGAGGTCATTTTCAGCTATCCATATCACTCATCGGAATTAAAATCTGGCTTTCAGGTTTCTTACAATTAAATAAAAACACTAAAGTTAAAAATATTTCAGTTTACACTGTTGACTTTTCGATACTGTTACCAACTTTTTAAGTAGCCACAAGTCCAAACTTCCACAGTATGTTTTGTTGATGTACGATTTCAAATTTGAGAAGTACTAGGGATAGATCCATTTGAGCTCTTCAAGTTAGGATAACAATCACCTTTGAATACTTAATTGGTAATTCAATAAATTAAAATAAACCAATCATAAAAAACCAAAATCATATTTATCGCTTGATAAAGGGTACAAGCTATGGTATGGGGTGTTGAAGCACATTGAAAGCAAACAAATTATTAGGTTCAAAAGCTTCCAGCCTTTCTAATTAATGAATATTGATTATGAATATGCTTTTCTTGATACACATACAATATAGTTTTTAAAATATATCAAGGATGACAATAATAAGTTATAACAAATTTTGAAGGATTTCATGTAGAAAAATTTGAAAGACAAGTTAAGTTAATAATTTAACATTAAATATACAATTAATTATTTTACAACTGCTTTTAATTTGGGAATTTTTACTAAAAATATCAACCAATTAGCAGTAACGATTTAAAACTATGAATGTGAAAGTTTGCTAATTGAAGAATTATGTTTTCATGCAACTAAAAATATGCTGCTTTGCATCAGGATTTGTCACCTAACAATTCTTTCAAAGAATCTCCTTTTCAAATATCTTAAATTGACTTAAAAAGTTTGGACATCAAAGTTTGCAGATTACAAATTTTTCACATTGCTAATTGATATGTACTCATATACAAAGCAACCAGCAAAATGCCCAATTTATAACTTCATACAAAGGTATCCTACGAATTCATACCAATTTTTTGGAGATGTCTACTCTCACTTTCAGTAATATTGTAGTGAATTTATTTCCAATATTTGTTACAGGTTAGTTTTTGAAACGTTCAGCAGTAACCTTAACCTTCAGAGGCTTCTAAAAGCTACATAAAATTTTGTATAAATTTTTCACATAAATGCACTGGAAATCCAAACTCTTGGACTCTACCATCATTTTTGAACACTGTCAGCTTTTCATTAAGGTAACTGACTCTCTATAAAATAAGTGTTGATATTTTCTTGTAAAAGTTGTATGGTAGCCATTTTCTGTCCTAACAAATCGTTAAGTCTTTTTAGATATTCTTCAAAATTCTGAAATGATAAATGTTAAGTATCATATAGCAAATAACAAATAATAACACAAAATTCTCCCTGTTTAAACAGTGCTCAGTACATAAATTGTAGAGGGATATAGAAATATTAAAACAGAACCTAATGATTTTAATTAAGAGTTTCACATTATCAAAGTAATTTGTCACAAGACAAAATGATCTATTGTCGAATAAAAGGAATTGATATTGAAATTTTGAAAAGCATAGTCATACCTTCTATTTTGATATGAGTTCAGTCATTTTCTAAGTTATAAAACAAAATTTTTTACCTTTTGACCAGATTTTTTAGCAGTCAGCAATAGTTTCATTTCTTGTTTACACATAGAAGTTACCTTCGTTAACTGATCTTCATGAGCAGAAATCAACCTTGTTCTGAAAACAGACATTGAAATGAAATAAAACAAAATAACAATATTACAAAACCAGCTATTTGACTCTCTGAAATGGAAGCCCCATTGACAAAACCGGTTGCCGAAATGCACATAGCTTTTTATAAAGTTAAGATTAGCGAATTCCTGTGTGTTCAACAAATACCCATTTCTTGCAGTATACATTTTTCTTGACATGCAATACCAGTCACGACAGCTGGATTGGAAATACATTTTCCTGATGCACTTTGGTCTCCTCTTACCTTGTGTCAGTAGATTCTGCTGATGGTCTGGTTAAATTGACAGATTCCCACGGTCGACTACTCATTGGCTTTGGTTGAACAACATTCTGGCTCACTATCTCCGTGGTAACAGACTGAGACACACCTTTACTTGTGATTGGTTGAGGATGAATAGGTGAAAAGATAGAAACAGCAGTAGAGGTTCTTGTTTGGACTAGTACTGAATCAGCAACAGACGTATGACCTCTGTTCACTGGTTCTTCACTTATATTTTGTGGTGTGACAATTCTGCTCTGAGTTATGGATGTAACTGGTTTTAAAAGTTCAGTTTGAGAGCTCAAAGAGATATGATCTGTATTGAATTTTTCTTTTGTAATGATGGGAGGTGAATTATTTCTGGTTGAATTTGAAGCTTGATGGCTCTTCAAAGAGCTGCTACGATGAAGACCTCTCTGCTTTGATATCTTGGTATCTGGTAAGCTTCCTGTTTGAACACTACTAGATAAAGATTCATCTGAATGTGTACGCCTACTTTCTATTTCTTTGTGACTATCAGTTAAAACCTGTTCATCACCATATTGTCTTCGTGGACTCTGGTTAGCACTAAATGGTGTTGGTGAAGGATTTGATCTTTGAGCTCCTCCTCTGGACAAATACTTTGCATAATCTCCTGGATCAGGAGCTGTATGCTTCTTGTTCTGTATATGGAGAGCCAGCATTGGGTCACTGTTTCCTTTTCGTAAACTGGCAGATCTGACATTTCTGTATGGTCCTTGACCTTGATCTGAGTGACTCATTCGAACACCTTCTATTGAGTCATCACTATGCGTTGGTGACTTGGGAATAGGACTAGATGATGGTAATGAGTCAGCTTTCTTTATCCTTAATTTTGGAGATTTTGGTCGTGCTCCTGGTGATAAGGGTGGAGTTTGTGACATTGGAGATAGTGATCTACTTTTAGGCGGGGAGTCTACAACACGTGGGTGAGTAATTTGTTTTGTGTCTGCTTTCAATGGTGCTCTTTGTGAAAATGTAGTAAGATCACTACTTTGTGCTGGAAGTACAGCTGGTATGTTTGACAGTTGATTCAGTGTACCATTGCCATTTCTAGGTGTGTGTACCACAGGCTCATTAGAACTTCCATCACCCAATGAAGAGCCCCATACATATGGTTGTGGAAAACCAAACGACTCTTGCCTTAGTTGGCTGGCTCTTTGAAATGCATTCCCAGATGGCTGTTCAAAGAGTAAGTCATCTTCGAAACTTTCTTTTAATAATGTTGAATTAAATGGTCTAGTAACTAGAGGTTGAGATTTTGAACCAGATTGTGTTTGATTGTTTCCAATGTTTGTTTTTGGTCTCACTTGGTCTGATTGTAAGAAATAACCAGGTTCAAATGCATAATCACTTCTGGGTTTTTGGTCTTTTTGGCCTAATACATCCAATTGCTGATTGAGATCTATGGACTGAGGTGGGACATTTTGAAACATATTAGTATCTGGAAAATATGATGATTTTGGCTCTGGAACTTCTGCAGCTCCCCAAGCTTGTACTGGTACAAATGAGGCATCCTTGTTTTTAACATTATTTCCATTTCTGTTCAAGTCATTTAACTGGTCTTCAACATTATTGAAATCTGATGTTGGAAAATCAACATCAGTGTCTGTTGAACGAACCACAGCAAAATTGGAAACCACAAATTCTCCAGATTTTGGCACATTCACATTATTTGAATCTGTATCAGTATGGTCCGATTCACTGGCTGAAGCTGATGTTTTCATAGCAGCAGATGTCATAGCAGAACCTTGAGAAGCTGATGCACCAGAAGGGATATTGGTTGCTATGGAATATGAAGCTGATGCACCAGCTAAAGATTGTCGAGGGGATGGTGCAGATCTTGAGGCAGCCTCTTTCAGCTTCCTGGGAATATCTGCTAAACGTGATGCTACACTACGACTCGTTGAAGCTCTTGATGGTGATGTAGATTTTTTCTTACTTGAGTGTCCTTTTACTGATTTTCTATGGGGAGTGTGCCCCCTTAATGGAGTGTCTGATGATTCTGTGTAATCAGAATGTCTCTGTGGGGTATGTCGAGAGGTCTGCTGTGATTTCATAGGTGTTGAAGAAGCTAACACTGTAGAAGGATTAAAGACTGTAGCAGTGGTTATGGGAATGTTCATTAATAAATTCATGGTTTGATTGATGTTGGTATTCTTTGAGTCTCTTCTCAACTCTTTGACTCTGAAAAATAGGAAACATGTAATTCAGTGAGTGGAGTAATTCAAATGGAAGTAAAAGCCTAATTTGTTTTTTCAACACAAACAAAATGGATGGCATCGATCAAAAATTTAATTTTCTATCATAGTAACGTGGCTCAAAATTCAAAAGTTATTGACAAAAGTCAGAATTCACAGCTCTGATCATTTTAAAAACAACATTTCTGGTGTAACTGTTTGAATACAAAGTCAAATATCTTACCTATCAGCATATCTTAGTGTATTAAGGGTATTTTCACAAGCTGTTTGTGTTGGTGATATATTAGCTATCATACAAGTTTTACTGTTACCAACAAAAGAATCTTTAAGTATATGAGTCAGTTTACTTTGACGAAATGGTGTATGACGGGAATCTTGGTCTATTGATCGGATACATTCTTTTAACTGTAAGAAAAAAGTATTATTTGATTAGGGAAGAGTATTATAGTCGTGTATTATGACCACTGAAATTTGCTTTTCTTCTTTTTATTTATTCAACATTTCATTCCATGGGGAAAGTGCGTCCAATCTATAAGCTCTAGTACTACTAACATGGACAACACCATGAAAATGAGACAGATCTTGTTGATTTCTCCATGACTAGACAAAAAATAAGATGAACTGCTAAATGTGACTTACTGCTAATAAACTCTGATTTATTTCTGCCCCTTCTAATCTGGTTTGTTTGTCAGTATCAGTAACATCTGCAGCTCTTTCACTTCCTGCTAAATCTATAAATGAGATCCTGTAACATACAAATTTTAAATAAACTGAAAGTAAAAAAAACTTCAATGAAAAAATTTCCAAAATATTAATGAAAAACTACATCCAAATATAAAATACATAAATAAAATATAAAACAAATATGAAATTTTGTGGGCACATTATAGATAAATTTGACCCAATTTAGATAATGAATATTTATAAATGTACACAATATTTTTTTTAGCATTGTGAACACTCTAAAAGGGATACTAAGAATTACTGAGTAAAATTATGAACTAGAATATACCTTCCATTCCTATGATCATTATCATCTCTAATTTCCATCTGTAATATTGCATGTGATCTAGAAGAATCAGGGTTGACGCCAGTAGCACCTTTACTTCTTACAGAATTACCATATTCTAATACCTACACAATACAAAACATGTTGTTATACACTTCAAACTTGCTCTTCAATTTTGGATACACATTTTCAAAACACAAGATTACAAGGGAAAATAACTAAGGGCTTAATATTTAAGCACTCAAATTTGATAAATATCAGGAAAAATGTTGAAAATTATGTGTAATGATCTTTAAACAATAAATATTATTATCATTATTATTATTATAATTCCAGGATCATTCCAAATTTTATTCTTTTAGCAGTGTATCAGGCAAACATACATTCATTAGTTTATAATGTGTGAACAAACCTCAACAAGAACATTAGAATCTACTGCCTCTGTTTCAGTTAAACCAGCTATACAGACACGATGAGAACCATCTTCACGAGGGTGTAACCTGCAAAATCATTATAAGACATGATGATTGGAACTATATAGACATGGCTTTTTCACACTTGCATCACAATTATGTAAGTTGAAAACAAAATGAAGGGCACTTTTACATCCTACTTTCCTGCTACATTTCACTTTTCTGGGTTCATGATACAGTAAGCTTAAGCTTTTATTAAGTAGATGTATGAAACATAGACCAAAGCATAAATCCTGGAAGGAAAAATATCACTAAAAATCCTTGTCCGAACACAAAAGATAAACGTACCGGTTTCTTTTATTCAGTAGATCAAACAGTTGACCACAATATATCTCAAAGAAACTGACCCAGACGTGTAGCCCCCGGCCATATTTACCAGATTGTATGAGAGAAAATATATCATTAGCAGCTAGTAGATACAGTCCTGGTGTGTCTTTATTACCCATCATGGTATGTGTCTTACCAGCTCCTGTCTGACCATATGCAAAACATGTAGCACTACCCCTGAAATGGCACCAAAAAAAAGTGTTATGCACTGCACTAAAAATTAATCACTATTACCGGTAGTGGTTCCATCGGAATCCAAGAAGACTATTGCAATCAGTATTTATGTGAGTCTCTACGCGATTTGGAGATTCCCAGATTTTTTAGGTCTGGCATACTAATAATTGGCAGACCCCATAATTTCATATTGGCTTACCCCTCAAATAAACAGCTAATTAATGGTCTGGTTGCTCGAACATAGACATCATCATTGGTACAATTCTCATCAAATACTTCATCGAAACGAAACTCATGCTGAAAGACAAGTTTCCAATTGATTTACCAATAAATAAAACAGTTAGTGATTGACTTGCATCCTACCTACGAAATTTACTTGGTTTCCTTCTATTGAGCAGTCAAGCAGGAACAGATGAAGTGGGACAGATAAAGATATAGTGTTTACAGTCATAGTAGCTCTAAGTGTTTAGATTGCAGAGGAACATCTGTGCAAAAAATTGACAGGAGTAGACAGAAAAGATCCTTAGTAAAGTAGGAATCTTTGAAATGCAAATGCTAAACTATCATGTCCCACTTAGATCTATTAGAGATTCATCTTCCTTATCTAAAACATATAAATTACAAGTAATAAGCCTTATATATTATGTATGATTTTAGAATAGGCCTACCTGTAATAAATATGGTTTTAAATCTACAGCAACTTTAGGTTCATTAACAGTTAAAGTTGTGGTACTCTCAGCATCAACAATATCTTTATCTGAAGCTTTCACTTCCCTTTTCATGACGGGTCGTTTTCTAACGCACACCCTGATTCTGTCCTCTCCACGTTTTGACGAGGACTTGTGTCTTTTCATTACTTTATTTTTAGGTACGCCATAATTGTATCCAGAATCGTGTTTGACACGCTCTGTGGGGTTACGACCATGGCGAGATAAGTCAGGAGGTCTAGCTGGTTGTCTAGCTTGAGGTTCATCATCAGACATGGATTCCTCAGTAGACTCTTCAGAGGTTGTATCTGTAAGAATGTCTATCAAATCTAGGTATGAGGCTGAAGAGTAATTAGGTGTTCGATCACGAACTGTCACATCTCTGGTTATTTCTAGACCTCTACCAGAGTACTGTCTGCCATCTCTGTCAGGCTGTCTGCTTGGTGTCTGTAAAAAAAATCAGAAATGGTGGCATTATAAAAATTTGCTTAATGTATTATAAATTTCATTAAAGCATTAATTTTGATTTATAAAACTGACAAAATGCTTAAAGGGATGTGGCTGTCTCAATATTTACTGTTGTGCCCTGTTTGTGTATATACAAGCCTTATTAAATACTTAAAGTTTGTAATTAAGGAGCATGGGAATCCACCTTTAATTCTACTTGTTAAGGTTCTAGTAATTAATTATCCATATCTAATCTTATTGGCATTTATTATTAATTTAATTACCATGAACAATCAATATATAACTGAAGGTAAATATATAGACTAATCCCAGGGGAATGTGATGAAACAAAATCGAGATCAGTAAAGCACTAGTTAACTATGTTATAGGAGTAAATCAATACCAAGAAATACTTTATATATATCTGTTTATATGACTGTTTATTTAAATAAAAATTGGGGATTTCAAATCCAGTTGCATTGACCTTAAAGGGACAGATGCACCATTTTTTTTATACTTTAGTAATAGTGTTAACAGAGCTCATTGTCGAATTTGAGCCTTCAAATCCATGTGTGTCCAGCATTATCTGCGTTTGAAAGCTTAAAAGACAGGTTATCTTTTTTAGAGACACAGTTATATATAGAAAAAGACATCAATAGAAATAGGAAAAGAAATTCCTAGTTTAAAGGAATCATGCGATCTTCTTGCATTTTTAATACTTCTGAAGACTATTTACAAAATATTCAAGACACATATCAACCCCCCAAAATGGTGCATCAACCCCTTTAAGCACTAATCTAGTACTGGTACTCAAAGAGAATGAGTAGTAGCAGATTTTTTGTATAATTTTCCACTTGTGGAGTGGAGTTTGCATTAGAGATGCCGAGTTGAATAATCTATTCAAAGATACTTATCATAGCATAGCTAAAATTCGTGGTCACAAAAAACAAATATTTACCTGAGGATGATCAGTTCTTGAAGATCTAAATGATCTACTTTGTCCACGAGATGGGGTAGAGATGTTTCTGACAGGGGAACCAAAGTGTACAGATCTCACTATGTCAATAAGTTCATTTAAACGTCTTTTATCATCTAGTGAATTTACGCCCATAGCTGCACATTCTTCTATTGTTAACCTGGCAAGAGTATCTGATCTGGAAATTCCATTGGCACGAAATGTCGGATAGTATTTCTCTAATCTAGCTTCTTTCAAACATTCATATAAAGTTCCCATTTTTTAAGTTTTATTCTGACAATAGGCTACCTACAAATATAAACCCATTGTACATGTCATAGTTCATTGTTATTCAAGGAAATAATTAGACAATTAAATTCTAATAAGCTTATCTCATTAGTTTGTTTTTAATAAAATAATCCATTACCGTACTCTCTCTCTAAACCATTCCTTAGGTTATTTTTTCGTTACCGTACGGTACATAATAAATAATAATTTGAGATTTTCAGATTTATAGCATTTCTCATCAATGACCTTATTTGAAAGAATTAAAAGTATCACACATTTAGGCCTCACTTATTTCACTAAATACTGTAATTCTATAAATTCTTTCTTTAATCAAAAAGCAACAAAAATCAATATCACACAAAGAAAAACACCATCATATTTTGAGTTGCTAGATGACAAATTTCTATGTTTTGATTTATCGAATGTCTATAATAAGAAATGATGTCAACCTGTCTTTTATAGAATAGTTTTCATTTAGCACTGTATTCGCCTAGCAAATAAAGTCTTTCATTTAGATTGGATGGGTCCACTATGGTATGATGTTGAAAGAGAAACCCTTTCTTTGCTAGGGTCTAGCCTGGGAAGGAAACATTCCAATAAAAAATCAATTTCAGATATTTCAATAGAATCAATTTTTTTTTATACTCAAGATAAGCCTAAGAAGATGACGTCATTCTATTCCTTTTTATTCAAATAGACTTAGACATATTCAATTGTATTGCAAAGACAATGTTGGCAAATTATCAAGCCTACAACCAATGAAATCCAATAGGAAATATTGATTCAATAAAAACTATGAGTGCTAAATGGTCTAGTAATTCCATACCAATCAGATAGTAAACAAACTTTTTCACTTCCAATCTTTTGACTAATTACACACAGCTCCAAGGTGCATGTCTGTTGACCACGAATATGAACAAGTTAGTAAGAAATTGTTTCTTTGAAATGACAAAAAAGAAAGTTGTTTTTTTTACCTGTCTAGAACATGTCCTAATTTGCCCATTGGCTCTTAGATGTAATTCAGCCCTTATACAATACAATTGAGAAGGTTGACCCAGAAAATCACATCATTAAAACAAGACCAGACATGCCAATAATAAACCTGTTTTCGTTTATAATTCGTCTGCTATCTCGGTGTCCATGTAATAACAAAAAATAGTCATACACTACTTTTTTAATCCAAGTTCTTTTTAGGCAAATACTAAAGTATTTCATTCATGACATGCAGTTTCAGAGACAAGAACTGCAAGATGAGAGTGCGAGTAAATGTTTGACATGCTTGGGAGGATTAGAAAGCTTCATTAGTTACACTCCATTTTGAAATTATCGCCATCTGGATTAAGACGTTTCGGCTCTGACTTTTTTGTTTACGGTCATTTCGTATCTTAATCAAGGATGTTTCGTTCACACATATTTCTGTATAAAATATCTATCTTTTTGAAAGATGATCTGTACTAAATTGTAAGTGTATGGGGGCCATGCATATGAGAGATGAACTATTGGGCCATTCTTTCTCATACAAAGTTGAAATTGACATCACATCGATTTCATTTTTTTGGTTTGTTACAAAAACTTGAAGGAAGTACGAAAATTGCACCGGAAGTGAAGACAGGTTGTCGAAGAAGAATTTATTAATCAACTTATGAATTGACTTAGCCTAATTTGGATTAATTTGTAAGAATCGCTTTAAGTATTGGCTAATCATGATTTATTCATATTGTGTATGTGCATATCACACTATTGCCATAGAAAGTGTTCTGATTATTTCTTTATTATTTTTTTTTGGCAGAATTGTAAGGGACTGAGTCATCATTTTATAAATCGGGCTACATTATTATTATCCCTTTCCTGTTGACTTGTTTATTTGTTACCTGAATCTATATTTCACTTTTTCCATTGGCAACATTTGTCAAATGGAATTCGAGGCCTGTGAAAAGCAAGCATATTTTGTTTAGTGCTGTAAGTTGTGTGTGTGCAAATCAGCCTACTACCGTATTTTTAAAAGCTTTAGCAATTTTCAAATTTTGACAGGTTAGTTTGGAAGTTCTAAATGCTATATTCAGTATTTGTGCACCAGTCCGGGCATCAGGCTTTCAATCTATGCACTTATGATTCCAGAAACGGGAACATAATAAGATCTTGGATGGTAATTTCAATAGTGATATCAAAATCTTTTTTTCTGGACCATTGGTAAATCAAATTGAACCTATGTGAGTTTTCAAAAAGTAAGGCCTTTGAATACCTCAAAGACAAGAAAGGTGTACCTATAATAGTTTGAGACAAGAACAATGTTTATTCATATCTTTGGACAAGCATACCAGGTTTGGACAAAATAAAAATTTTGGAATATTTATTTGTGTTTAGATACAGGGAGAGTGAAGAATGAAGTACTATTTGTTACGAGATATATTGAAATAACCCCTCCACCATCATTAGTTCATGATGTATCATCATTATGATATCAATAGAGATCGTATTATCAGTGAATTTGTACGAAACACTCTGACAGATGAAGTCTATGCTGCTGATATTTTAGAACGTAAGTATATTACCCTTGAATTTGTGAAATGAAATTTCATGTATTATGATGGAAGACGAGCTTTTGAAATGGATGATAATTAACTCTGTTCTGTTTGTTCATTTCATGGTCTGAATAAGATTATAAATGTAGTTTTGACTGTAGAGAAGGTAGATCTAATAACAAAATACACAAAAGTTTGGTCATGAAGTGATTTTGTTATTAATGAATGGATACACCTGTCTAACTCAATTTAAGATACCTATATCTTAATCAGTATCCACTCTCTATATCAGTAAATCAATACATCACGATATAACATATAATGATACTCTTATCTTAATCAATCCTTTCACAATATCACATATTAAATAATGTTACCATATGCAGGAGAAATAGAAGGAAGAAGTTCCATTGGTGATTGTCACAGCAGTACCTTAAACATATATTAACTAGTGTTGAAACGGTTAGTGAATTTTACGAACCGGGTAATCGTCAGCAATAACCGTTTGTTACCCGGTTAATCCCAGTTAATTACTAGAGATTATGAAAGGATTCAAAACCGCAATTAGGTTAACGGTGACTGTTGACAAACTTAGACCATCGCGATTATCCAGAACGAGTAATTAGTTGAAATTGTATCAAAAAAGAGGCTTGATAATCTTAACAACAATTCTTGCTACTCGTTAGTGTTTTGATAATTGATACCCTATCTTGATTTATTAATCTCAATTATTCAATCAATAAAGATGTTTATTTACTAAAGAAAACAGCTTAAAGACTCAAACAGTGACAAATTTTCTGTCAAAATTGCTCTCTTTTTACTTCTTATAAAATTGACGTTTAACAGATTATCTCAAATCAGACCTGGTCACCCGTGAAATACTACCCGAAATCAGTTTACTGATTAACCGTTTCAACACTAATATTAACAATAATTTACAATGTATTACTTATATTATTTTGTTTTTATCTGAAATTAAGTAAGCTTACAGTAACAAAAATTCACTCAAACGGTTAAGAGGTATATTTTAATATGTTTTAGGAAATAATTGGGATTTAAAGAAGGCCTATGCTTCAGTTGAAAAGGCATGTAAGGACCAAAACACAGCAAATCACCAAATTAGACCACGTGTTCCCACATTAGAGAGACAAGCTAATGTTTCTAGTAGTCAGCAACGTCAGGTGCCTATTCAAGGAACAGTTGGTGGTAGGCCATCTAGTGGTGGAAGTCAGGGTACAGTCAGCCGGTCAAATGTTGGTGGAGCAAGTCAAGGAATAGGTGGTGGTATAAGTAGAGCAACACCTTGTGTGAGTCAGGCCACTGTTGGTGGGGGCTTAGAATATGGTTATGGCGTTCCTGTGCCTAATAGATCTTCCAACTCTTCAGGGCAAACTTTTACACCCCCCTTACAAAGGGCTCATGTTCCTAAATTTCCTGTGGGTCCACTGGAAGGCAATTCAAGTTCACAACAACCAGTAACTAAATCAAATGAGCGAATAATACCAATCCAAGTAATGGGTTCTGCTTTGAATTCATCACCTAAGAAAGTTCAACCACGTGCTGTGATTCAAGAATCCTACCCTTCCTCCCAGTCTCAACAAGTTCAGTCTCAAACTTTCCGTGATGAGAAAATAGTTAAAGAGAAAACACCTCCTAATACAGAATTTAAACAACCTGCAGCAACTAGTACTGTACCTAAATCAGGTTTGTGTATGCTATAATCTTATTTTCTTAAACTGTGCTTCTATGTCTGCACCATATCAGCATTCCATTTATTATTGATTATTCCAGTCAATATACTGTCTATTAGCACCATAAGTCTATATTTTATTTCATCAATTATGATGTAGGATTGGCATCCTGAAATATGCTGTTGCTAGGTTACATTGATCTCTAGATGATCTGTGAGCTTTATCCCCTGCTCTTTATTTACAAGGCCAACTGTATCCACACCAGGATAATTTTTAAACCTTCTGTATTTCAGAACCCAAGTTAAAACGCGGCATATCAAATATTATAGAGAATGCTTCTTTATTAACTGAAACTAGAAGCTGTGTATTACATGATATAGAAGAAGATAGTCATGATCATATGTATATACAAACCTTTGTGCTACCTGATTTAACTGTACATAACGATGGTTTCCGAGCCTTCTTACAAAAAGAACTTGTAGAAACTTCTACCTTAGTCTCTTTAGAACAAGCAGGTTGGTATTTTGTCTCAGTTTCCAAACATTAGTTTGTAAATTGTACATTTTCAATGATTTTCATGAAAATGTAAAAATCAGCTTTAAAATGCTTGTAATTATTTAATAGATTAGATTGTTTCAAATGTATTATCCTCATCAGGAGAAATTGGGGATAACTTTCCTTTTTTGAACTTAATGAACATCGTATGCAAATTTTTTGAACATGATTGTAAAATCAATTTGAAATAACATTTGTCCATATAGTAGTCATATCAATACATGGATTTTAGTGACAGTTTGCCATTATCTAAATATCACAAGTGATGTTCATCAAATTCAGTTTTAATTGCCCTTATTAATATGTTTGTTTGGATTTACTTCAGTAATACTGCTAATATGCTATCTATATTTTAGGGAGATTAAATTGGTGGGCTGAAATGAGAATTTGTCAGAGATTATGGCCAATGGCCACTACTGGTGATGGCAACTGTCTCTTACATGCTGCCTCATTAGGTATGCATTATTCATCAATAAACCTTGGTCACGCATTTATATCTTTAAGATGGGATTAGGATTTCAAAATATATGTTTTTATCTTATAGAAGGTCATTTAATCATAACCTAAATAACTGACCAGAGCCTAAGCAAAATTGTAGGTGTCTGAAATGAAGAAGATTTGGTATGGTCAACGAATATATCATGTTTATCAAATTTTAGATTTTGATATTTTGCATAGATCATAAAGAGTGTAGTCTTGCCTAAAAACACAAAACAAAACTTCAACAAATGTATATTATCCGTAGTTCTGGCAATGAGCAATCATCCCATATGGATCTGTGTCATTTAAAAAGTTGTGATAATTTTAGTGTTTTAATGTCCCATCTCTGGACATGCAGGATGGAAAGGACATTGTGGAACTAAGATACATACAATATTTAATATTTTATAGCTATGTGGGGCGTTCATGATAGACAACTTATATTAAGAAATGCCCTGTATGATATGTTAACTAAAAGTACTTTCCGAGATGCTTTATACAGACGGTGGAGATGGCAGCAGACTATTGCTAATAAAGAGGTAGTTTATTTAATTTCCTATGAACACAAGGTTGAATTGTGCATTTGGGTACCATGAGCAAACATGCTGAATTTCTGCTGACATTCAGGGTAGGCAGACAACTCAGTCTACAGCAAGTTATTCTGTACTGTATTTGTAAACCTCTCTGCCATGTCTTAAAGTAATACTACGTCATAGAATGAACATAAAATTTAAGTTCTCAAGAATGGTCAATATGAGTATATATTCATCAGTGAACTTACCTGGTGTCATAAAGTTACAACAGAATCCCTGCAAGAATCTGGAAAATTGGAAAATTCATAAAACTAAGTAATTATTGAAAAACGTTTAATGGTAATATTAAGTGTTTTTCAATAGTTAATTGCATATTAATGGTTAATTACTAAGTTTTTTGGATTTATCGAATTATAAAAGGATCCTGTTATGTTATTTATGACATCAGGTATATCTACTGGCTCTTATTCGCTAAGTTTAAAATTCTTAAATTTTATGTTCATTCTAAAATGTAGTCTCACTTTAAAAGGTTTCAGGTTTTTCGAAAATTCAATCCCATGATTTAAGCTATATTAAGTATACACTTAAGCTACTGATTTGATCGTAGAGCTGCATTTGTTTTTTTTTATCCATTTAAGAATTTAAATAGCGGTCTTTAACATTTTTTCACCTTTTTGTGGATTCAGTGTACTATGAAAGCTTGTCTTTTGAAAAGTCTATATTTTTGAAGAAAATAAAATTTGTTTTTAAGTGATATTACACAATCTATGAGTGATGTTTTTTCATATGTTGAAAAATGATTAACAATTTTTGGATATTTCAGTCAGGACTAGTGTTTTCGGAATCAGAATGGTCAGAAGAATGGAGTAATTTATTAAGATTAGCTTCTACCAAACCACGAACATTACCTGATCAAGATAATAACAGAAGACATAGCTGTTGTGAGAGTCCACTCACTCAATCAACTGGGTACTAATTCTTTTCTTTTTTCATTTGAGTTATACTTGTTAATCTTAACTGGTTTTTATTTCACTTTGACTTGAACATGAATTTGTGATAAACTCTGTCATTCTGCATTTGTAAACGAAACTTCAAATTTGATGTTTTAAAAAAATTCCTCAGTGGCCAGGTACATTTATAGAAACTAGAATAAAGGGTTAAGATATAGGTTCACGCATAATTAGCATAATTCTTCATGTTGAAAATAATCTGGTCTAGACCTTTATACAAATGTATTTTTAAGGCTATCAATGCTATTTTAAAACTGACATCTAAAAAAATATTTGCAAAAATGCAAATGAATATGGGGCAGGGGCTTGATTTTCAAATTTGGAGGCATTGAGGCTTTTTGTCGATTCAATTAGGTAGATTAGCTATTTTGTGCGTTTGTGAGCCAGGACGATTAGGCTAATCGGTACATTTGTGAGCCAGTTTACCTAGACTGATTTGACTAAGCATCCTAATCGTCCCAGGAGGTGGTTAGGCGATTCGATTAGGCTTTTCCAAGATTTCCAAGATAGCAGCATGTGGAAGTTACTAATGTAATAAAAATAGTGGTCTTTCATTAGTTGTCATTTGAATTTCGCATTTGTGGACCACTGATAATCTAAACCAAATTGCACCAAATCGTACTACCTAATCGAATCGGTCAACAAAAACGCCTCTGGTGTGTATGTCTCAACCAGGATTTACCCTTACATGTGCTGTATGTCTTTGGAATATGAAAACTGAGACAAAAGGGGTGATTTAGTGTTGGAGGTTTTGAAAATCGTTTTTGTCCGCTGGAAATTGAAATGTCATTTTCTTCCCCTGGTGCATATGTATGCCTACATCTAAAACTAAACAGTGTTGTTTCTTAGTTACAGCTCTGACACACCAGTAGTATATGAAAGTTTAGAAGAATTTCATGTGTTTGTATTATCACATGTATTAGAGAGACCTATTATAGTGGTAGCTGATAAAGTTTTAAAGGATTCAAGTGGAGAAGCTTTGGCACCTATACCATTTGGTGGTATTTACTTACCTTTAGAATGTGCACCCCGGTACTTTAGATCACCTTTACTGCTTACATATGATGCTGCCCACTTCTCGGCTTTAGTTCCAATGGATCATGAAACTCCAAACTCTCCACCAGGTAAAGTAGAAATCTGGCTATCTATTTCAGTCAAATACCATATATTTTGTCTGTAGTTTGTGTAATTAAAGGATTTGGCATATGTCAATAGCCGCGTTTAGACAGCCATAAAAACTGGCCCAATTGAAGTGAAACGTACTCGGCCCGGTTGGCCTGTACCGTTTACACAGCACTGTTTTCACTGGGCCAAAATCAAAAGTAGACCTGCTCTCCAGTCAGAGGAGGCGAAAAAAAAACAAACATACAAAATGGCTCCCGCTATAAACAAAGCTATGATTTTGAAGTTTTTGTTGAATTTGTCTCGTTTATTTATGACGGGCACCTTCCAATTGAACTTGGACGATCTCGTCACCCCAAATAGCGATCAGAGCTTCGGTAGCTCCCCCTTAGGCACATATTTTAACAGTAAGTCGATCCTTTTTTGTCAAAGTTTAGCCTAGTTTGTTGTTCCCGCGAATAAAGTAACAGGGTGAAGGTCATTGTTGCGCATGCCCCCGGCTAAGTGGGTCAACTTGGCCCGGCCCTTTGGCGCGTTTACACAGCACTAATATTTTGCCGTGCCGTATTGGTCCGGACCGAGACCACCTCTTCTTGCGGGACTCGGCCCTCTTGAAACTAGCACGGTGCCGAGCCCTCTCAACCCGTTCACACAGCCACTTTTTGTGCCGAACCGTACTCCGTACTCCGAGTCCGGACCTGGCCCGGATAAATTGTGGCTGTCTAAACGCGGCTATTGTTAATTATTGTCAGGTTTCCAATTTCCTTTGTTGGGTTGCTAAATTCAATTCTATATTCCATTTTGCTTTCCAAATTACATTCCATTTAATTTTCGAGACTTGTGTGAGCATCTTAGAAGATCTGTCTTGGAAATATAATTTAGGAGCTTAGACCAAACTTTTGTTCCGTTTTGATATTAGCTTTTATTTTAAATTTAGCCACTTCTAACATAAATCTCTTTGATGGCACCGTCATGACCAAAATGTCTATATCAAAATTCTTCTTCTTTTATATTCTTTCAGCTGCTATACCTGTAGTAGACCCAGAATTCAACTTACTTCCCATTCATTTTCATATGGATCCTGGTGCAAAATATGACTGGACCAAACCCAATAAAACAATTATCAATGATTTATCTTGTGAGGATAAACTTAATTTACTTCAAAAATTTATGGATGTGGAAAAACTGCCCATACCTTGTTTTAATGGTGAAGATGGAATGGAATCCGATAAAAACTCTTTTAGTTCCTGCGATTCTGATATCGACAGTGTTGGTTGTGTTGGAAAAGGTGAAAAGGCAGAAAAGAAAAAAGAAGCCAAACAAATGCAGAGTATTGGTAAACAATTTGGCAGTATTGGGAAGTCTGTAGGTAAAAAATTCAAGAAAAACTTTGCAAATTTCGGGAAGACTCCTAAATCAACTCATGACAGTGATAAATTGAACAACAGAAAAGCGTCTGTTGGTAGTGTGATCACACAGAGTACAAAGGTCATCACCACACTGGCCACAAACTCTGATAAAGATCGCGTCCGGTGTGCAAAACTTTCAACACAACGCCCAGAAAATCAACAATCTATGATCAAGAATTATATGCAGAATGCACGAGAGCGTTATGAAAAAGATCGAGAATTGAAACGACTAAAAGGTGAAGAACTCAGAAGTCGAGTCAACGATATGTCTCTGAATTGTCATCAAACTAAATGTGTAACTCCCAACTGTCAACATTATGGCACATCTGAATACTCATACATGTGTTCACAGTGTTATAACCGACAAAAATCACAGATAATGGTCGACGAAGACAGAAAACACAGGTCTGCTTCACAAGCTGTCCAATACAACACATTTCCACGTAACCAACCAGACATGATGTACAGAGGACCAGCCAGAGTACATCAATATGATGATACATATATCTATAGACATGGTAAATCTAAATTTTATACAATGACAGATGATCGTCCTTCATCTGAACTGGCTAGTCGGGTTAATATCATAAACAATTTAGATCGTCCACGATCAGCTGATGACATACGCACATCTGACCACACAAAACAAACTAAAGAACGCTCTCCGTCCCCTGATTATGATAATGTTGATTATCCTGAAGAACAAAAGGATGGGTCTCAGTTAGTTGCTGGCAATGCACAAAAATGTTTGACGACTGCATGTCAATTTTACGGTAAACCAGAAACTGATAATCTTTGTTCAGGTTGTTTTAAGGAAAAGACTGCATTAGTCTCGAAAGCTGCCAAAACACTGACGCGTATTTGACATTGATACATTCTTTTTTTCTCTTATTTGACGTTTCCAATACACAAATGACAGAGGTTTCCCAAAAAAAATTCTTCCTTAGTGCCAATATTTGATCAATCTGTTAATACCAGTCTTTTCACTTCCTAAAAATGATAGTAAAATTTTAGATTATAGCAATTATTATCATATTTAATGTGATCAGGGTAGGATATGGTTGTACTTCTTGTCACCTGATACCATTGTGCGCATATGTTCTTCAAATCTGGCGCAGAGTCAGAGAGTTCAAAAATATTGACTTGAAATAGCTATGGATACTGTCTTTGTCTTGAATTTTTAACTAAGTAGTATATTTGTCTTGGGAGCTGTTGTTTTTAACAGGTCAAAGGTACAAAATGTGATTTAAGAATTGTTACCAACCAAAATGAACGCCTTAAATGGCTGTCAAGTCACATTTCTCATCAACTGCCTATTGTGTCTTTTTGTTTTCAATTTTATCATTCTCGACCATTTAGTGACATGATACTTAGTTTATTCTGATTGATATTCAGGGTGAATTCAGTCCAATACTCATTCAGGAAAGTTGGTATTATAGTTTAGAAGATGTAGTCTTAGTTATTGATATCTATGCACAATTTGTGACAAGTTGAATTGACGGTGATAGATTGAATGTTTTTTTTTTTCATTATATCTTACTTAAACAAATTTAAACTGACAAATATAAGCTGTTTCTAACATGACTGACAAGTTTGATCTTTTTCTGAAATGACTGACAAATTTCAGCTGCTTCTGTAATGTTGACTAGTTTCAGCTGTTTCTGAAATGTTTGATTAATTTCAGCTGTGTCTGAAATAACTAATCAATTTCAGCTGTTTGTCATATAACTGATCAATTTCAGCTGTTTCTCATATAACTGATCAATTTCAGCTGTGTCTGAAATGACTGATCAATTTCAGCTGTTTCTGAAATGACTGATCAATTTCAGCTGTGTCTGAAATGACTGATCAATTTCAGCTGTTTCTCATATAACTGATCAATTTCAGCTGTTTCTGAAATAACTGATCAATTTCAGCTGTGTCTGAAATGACTGATCAATTTCAACTGTTTCTGAAATGACTGATCAATTTCAGCTGTTTCTGAAATGACTGATCAATTTCAGCTGTGTCTGAAATGACTGATCAATTTCAGATGTCTCAAGTGACTTGACAAAATTTAAAAAAATATTTGGCTAACTGTGTGAAATGAATATAGTACTTCAAAAATTAGTGTAATTTTTTCAACATTTTGAATTCAGTCTTTTGAAAAATATTTTAAGGATCTACAATGAACAATGAACAGATCATGTAGTGATAGAACAAACTGTTTATGCCAGAAATTTTCCAATTTTGAAGAAAAGGTTAAAAACAGTCTGTTAGTGGTACCAGAAGTTAAAACAGAAGTTAGATTTGTTGAAAATAACAGTCTACTAGTGGTACCAAGTTAAAACAGAAGTTAGATGTCTGATTTGTTGAAAACTGAGGGCAAATAAGAATGTAAATACTAGTTAAAAGTGCTATGTGGTTATAGTTGTATCATATGTATAAAGCTAATTATGTATATATTATAAAATGTTAAAAATATGTTAAACAACTATGGGTCTACTATTTATATTGAAAAAAAGAAAAATGAAGTGAAAATATATGTATTAATAATAGTGAAATTCAAGAATAATATTTATTCTTTACGATTATTGTAGTCTTTTGGTTTAGGAACTGGACTTGCATTTACAATAATTTTAGTTTAAAGGGGTTGTAAACAGGTTTTCTAAATTTTATATGGGTATTTGGGACACTGATTTCATTAATTTGCACCATTCCAATTTTCAATCAGATTTCTGTGGTTCCTGCAATTCCTCTAAAACTAAGTGATTGATGATGACAGTAATTGCATAGGGCTTTATGTGATTAAGCTAAGTTTGATTTAGTGACATCATCAAACACTTATTTTTTGTGGAATTGCAGGAACCACTGACCTCTGACATAAAATTGGACTAGTGCAAATTGATGCTATCAGTGTGCACGATGCACATACAAAATTAAGAAAACTGCTTTACAATCCCTTGCTCCTCTTGATTTATCATATGTGAGCAAGTCTAATTCAAAACGAGTTTAAGATTTGTTATGAAGAAACAAAACAAATGAAAAATTTGTATTTCCTTAGTGATTAAAGGAACATACATAGTGAACTTCTAGTCTTTAAGAAAGAGTACATATATTATTGTGATTATTTTATTTGGTTGTTAAATGTTTTGTGTTTTATTTTGAGAAAGGAAACCTTTAGTGTTGTGAATAAGTTTTTGTAGGTGTGTTCGACATTTTGTTGTAGGCTTGTGTTCATTTAGTTTTTTTGACTGGTTTATGGTGCATGCTGTAAAATAATAGTAGTATTTGGTTGGATTATGCTAATAATGTATAAGTTTCCAAGTTATGTTAAATTCCATAGAATGCCCTGCATGATTTACATCTCGCATGACATGATAATGAACTTATAAAACTAATAGAAGACCAAATATTTTCATTTATCAAATTTTGTGAAAAAATATTATTCTTAAAATATTTTTTTTTTATAATAGTCCTTAAAATTAGATGCTAAAATATACAGGAAAAATTGAACTCACAGTTTACACTGAACTCATTTTCAACTTTTTACTGGCATATCTTATAAACCAAGAAAAGGGGGGGTAACTCTGCCAGATGTAAAATTAGAGGATGCAATACAGAATGTTGTGAAAAGCATGTTATATTTATTTTCAGCACCATATCATTATTATACTGTTTATCGTAAACGATAACTTCTCTTCAGGTATAAGCTGTTATTATTTTATTATTAATATACCTTGACTATATCACAGTATATTACCATATTTCCCTTAATAAACTCTGTCAATCTGATTAATAATAAATATTTTGTTTCTTTTATGTTTTGTGGGCTATTCATCACTTTTTAGATCTGATAATAAGGTTTTTAAAGTCTTTTGTAACTTAATGGCGCTATTGGCATATTTATCTACGACATAAAACCATCTACATTTGAAGTGAGTTTTAGGTGAAATTTGATCCCATAATTACCATAAATCGCCATTGGTGGTGAGCTCTTATTGAACAAAGCATTTACTTGGATGAATTTTCTTTTAAACATTATAAGATTTTAGTATGAGTGAAATAACCCACAGAAAATATATGAAACAAAATATAAGTTGCATACTAATAATATTGTCCAAAATTCCACTGCTTGAGCTAGATTAAAGTATCAATATTGAAACATTGACAGCAGAAGTTCTTCTGAATCTAACAAAAGCAATATTTTTATATTTAATCAAGACTTTTGGCATGCTCATGAAAGCAGAGGAAATATGAGTTGAGTTGAAATTGAACGCTTGTATTTCTGTTCACTATATTAAAGTGATACTACGTCTTAGAATTAACATAGAATTTAAGAATTTTAAACTTGGCCAATAAGAGCCAACCTGATGTCATAAATAACATAACAGGATCCTTTTATAATCCGATAAATCCAAAAAACTTAGTAATTATCCACAAAAATGCAATTAACTATTTAAAAACGCTTTAATATCAAGATTAACCGTTTTTCAATAATTACTTAGTTTTATGAATTTTCTAATTTTCCATATTTTACATGGATTCTGTTGTAACTTAATGACACCAGGTAAACTAACTGATGAATATATACTCATATTGACCATTTCCAGAACTTAAATTTTATGTTCATTCTAAGATGTAGTATCACTTTAACATGAGTTTGTCAAGGACGTAAACAGGGTTTGAATTATTAATGTACTGCTGGTCTTTTAACCATTTGTCAAATTAAAAATATATCAAAAAAGCAATACAATTTAAGTGGAAAGGAATTGTCTTTTCTCTACATGTTTCTTTTCATCCATTGAGAGATTTTTTTTCTTCATTTTTAAACAAAATCTTTGGGTTTTTTTTCAAACCGAAATTTTATTAAACCAGCAATGGTACTATCTCTTGGATAGAGTTATTGAGAATTTCAAGCCGTAATAATGCGACTTGAATTCTAGATTAATCATTAGTTATGTCTTTCTAATTAACATATTTTTCCTTTGATCTCGCTGCTAATATACTTCCTATTAATCATATCAACTGTTAAATTGTCATTGAAAGAGATGAAGTCTTTTAAGACTTGTAACATATTTTAAGTTGAAAATCCTACTATGTCCAGAAAAATTTATTTTAGCTAACTCTGAGAATCTTATCTGCTTGGATATCAGAGACTCTGTTCCTTTGAAATTTATAAAACATACTATAGTAAGTTAAAATATATATGTTCCAAAAAATCTTTGGTTTTCTTTTGAAATATGCCAGTTTTATCAGTTGTAAAAGCATAGCAATGCCTATATTCTTATCATTTATACTCACTGCTCTATAGTATTCATTTAATAGCTTCTTATTACATATTGCCTCGATGTAGGCTCTTAGTTTTGGTAATGGGAAAATAACAAGCATATACATACTAACAAAACTGGTGCATCTTTAAAGGTATACTACTTCCTAGGATGGCAAAATGAGTTTGTCAGTGGACTTGCCTAGTATACAACAGAATCCCTCTATAATCCAATAAATCCATAAATTAAATAAAAATCCATTGAACGAAGTAATTTTGAAACCTGCTTAGAAGCGTGTTTCAAGAATTATTAGTTTAATAGATATCATCTTATATATTGATTCTATTCTTTAGTCATGGTACCTGGTAAGTCCAACTGATGAATCTATACACTTGTTAACCAAGTTTGAGATTTTCATTTTATATCCATTCTAAGAGGTAGTGTTCCTTTAAATACCACTACCAATTATTTCATATTGACCCTAATGGATTTACATTCTATAAAATTCAATTAACTGGTCTTGAAATTATATGCATTTAATGTTCACATAGGTGTGTTCATCAACATTTTTAATTTTCAATTACTGTTTGGGTCATTGAATTCCAATTCATACTTATTATAAATTGCAAAATATATTAATCAATAGAAGGAGTTATTGCATGCCATGTATATTTCTTTTTTTACAGCTTTAGAGTTATTGTGAAATCCAGTACTTGTCTTCGTTTTATACGAGGCCTACTTATTTTTTATTGATAAACTATTGTTAGTTAAAGCTTTTGTTTTCACATAAAAGGGTGCTTTCCAATTTCCTCAGAATTGAATGATAATGTTATTGAATTCTAAAGGCACTATATATCTGCAAGGTCGTGTATCGATACTTGACGATACCTCATATTCCATAAAAAAGAGGGAGATTGGAATCATAAGTCATTTTCACTGATTTGACTGAAATTGTTGTAAACTATTTATAAGACAGTGGCCGTTAACCATTACTTTCCGCTACCTTACCAAATATCACAGTTACAAAGTAATAAATTAATAATTTTTTATTTTTAACACATTACCCCATATAGCAATACATATTGTATCATGACCCTTGTATTACGATACATGATTGGCAATACCCAGCACTTATAAGATGATGATAACACTCTACAGTTTACAAGGAATGCATTGTATTCCTTTGTTAAGATTAATATCTATTTTATTGATTAATTCTAACACTTTTAAAAAGTTTGCATTAAGATTGCATATATTAGAAAAGGAAGTCATTTAATGCAAAAAAAAAAATTTAGTATTTTTGAAAGAATGTTTGATTATAAGTAAATATCACTGGTTGTCATGGTGATGATAAGCCTACTATTTGCAGCATCATGCCATTACATAACTGAAATTTTGTTGGGAGTAAATTGTTCTAATCTTATTGTTAGTTATATTTATAGTTTTATATGAATTCATTTTATAAAGGGCTAGATGATGTGAGATGCTAACTTAAGAATCGGCATATATATTCTGATATTAATGCACACTTATGTAGCATATGCAATCACATGTATACTATGTTTGTAGTAAAAACAAAATTTTGAGCAACCACATCATTTCAACTTTATTAGTAAAAAACTACAACAAATCCTTATTTAAAGTAATACTACGTCTTAGAATCAACATAAAATTTAAGTTCTCGAAATGGTCAGTATGAGTATATATTCATCAGTTAGTTTACCTGGTGTCATAAAGTTACAACAGAATCCCTGTAAAATCTGTAAAATTGGAAAATTCATAAAACTCAGTAATTATTGAAAAACGCTTAATCTTGATATATAAGCGCTGTTTAATAGTTAATTGCATATTTATGGATAATTACTAAGTTTTTTGTATTTATCGGATTATATAAGGATCCTGTTATGTTATTTATGACATCAGGTATATCTACTGGCTCTTATTCGCCAAGTTTAAAATTCTTAAATTTTATGTTAATTCTAAGATGTAGTATCACTTTAAAGAGGATCTTCAAGATATTTTGACTATAATGCTTTTGTCAAATAAATGTCTTGAATAAATATCTAGTGGTAGATAGAATATTTTTCTGTCTTTTTTTTTGGATAAAATTGTTAAAATTCCCCAATATTTCGAATTATTATATTTTGATAAAATATTGTTTTGAGAGTGGCCAGTTCAAAAATTGCTAAAAATTATGCCTGAATTATGTAGTTAAATTGCCAGGAATAAGGGTTCCTGCTTCTCATAGACATTCTTCTTATATTAAGTTATTATTCTTTATGTTGTATTTATATAACATGTTTCTGTTAGCTTGAGTTTATTAACAAAACTGAAATATTTCAAATAAATCTTAAATGCTTCCTTTTGTGTTTTGATACTTGTATTACATGTATTTCTTTAGTAAGGCAAAGATGTGTGCACCATTCCACATGTAAGTCAAGCAGCCTGCTACATATTACATGGTCTAAATGTGGGTTCTTAAACATTTATCCCAATAACCTTTTGATCTAACCTGATGAACTCTGCTTTAACCAATCAAATTCCTTCACTCTCTCACAAAATCTTAGCGCTGGAGAGTGCAAAAATTGATAAGTTAAAGCATGTGTTACAAAGCAAAGGGTTATTGGTACAAATATTCAAGAGGCTCCTCTTTAGACCCTAACTGATGTGGCTGTATTAAAAGTAAAAGCTAATAAAAAAACAAAACGAAATTTTGGTAAAATTTTAATTAGACTGCAGATATTGTCAAAATTATGACCGTTTCTATAGGAACTGCACTCAAAATGTGTAAACCCAAAAAGCACCAAACAATTTTTCTTTATTTTCCCGAATGTGATAGATCCAGAAGTCCAGCCACTGAAGGTAGCAAAACATTCTGTATATACATACAGGAATTACTATAGTCTTGTGTGGTAGCCATATTGTCCATCATATTCATGTTATTATGAAAATAGTCTGTGGTCCTCTGATGTTCTATGCCTACCAACTGGGTACTGGGATAGCCAACAAGAGATTGAGCATGCTGAGTGGAAGCCATGTTGTCATACACCATGCCTTGTGTGTCTAGCGTCATGTGACTAGACATTGTTTGATGGTGTGTCTGCTGGTAAGTGACGTCTGTCATTTGTAAACAGTTGGACATCATGGTCTGATCATGTAGATTGTGAGAAATTTGAGTTTGATCATATTTTTCACTTTCGGGTATAGTCTCTTCTATTTCTTCAGCTGGATCTACTTCATCCATGACTGCAATTTTACGAACTGGTGGTAACTCACTGTCGCTTCCATGAACACTTTTCATATGACGTCTTAAATTTGATAAGCGACCAAATGCTGCTTCACACCAACATTTGTGTTCTTTGATTTTTGAATGAGTTTTTTCATGGCGATTCAATCCACTTCTGGATTTAAACATCATTTCACATTCGGTACAAGCATAATTACGTTCCTCATTATGTTTATGTTTATGGTGACTTTCTAATGTTTTCTTTGTATGAAAAGCATCACCACAAAGTTCACAGATGAAATTACGCTGCCCTTTAAAATGATGCAGCACATGTCTCTTTAAATTATTCAATTCAATAGTTTTATATCCACAATATTGACACATATGAGGTCTCTCTCCACTATGACACTTTAAATGACGTTTTAAGGTCTGTTTTCTGAAACAAAAGATTAAAAGATTTGAATGTTTTTCATTATTATTAGATATTTTGTTTCCTTTTTTTTCTGTGGGCTGCTCCATTTATTTTTGTTATTTCCTATAGATTTTTGGCATAATAATTTATGCATACATGTACCATTGTAAAGAGCATTTGATGGTTGAACTCGATTCTCTTGCAAATGTAATAAGATTATGGTATGAGGTGAGTTAACCCACAAACAATATACAAAACAAATTGACCACTTCAAATAGATGTTGAAGTTGTTGGAATTTTTACAGTTGCAGGTCCTTTGCTGAAATTGTTTCATTTTTATTGCCTTTACTTACCTGTAGAAGGATTTGCCACAAGTTGAACATGAAAACTTTTTATCTTGTTTGATTCCAGCTTTCTCACAATGTTTGAAAGTTTCTGTGTGTTTTAATAGTGCTCTTTTGGTTCGAAACGCCAGTTTACATACAGAGCATTCTAATGGCTTTTCACCTGCAAACAGAAAACATTACTGATGTGTGACCTTTTGCAAAAAAACTGTTTAATTAGCAGGGACATTGCTAGCAGAAAAATTCCATTATTCCTAGCCCTAATGCACAGAGCTGAACATTTTGATCAATGGTCATTCAATATGGTGATATTGAAAGACTGAAATGTTGCATAAACTTTTCAAATTAAACTATAAAGTTTCAGACATGGTACATAATAGTTGCTTTGACCAAATGAATCTTACCTGTATGTAACCTCTGATGGATCACCAGCAATCCTGGCTGACTAAATAATTTACCACAAACATCACAAATTGAACTCTTGTCACTATAATCACTATGTTCACACCTATGTTCATTCAGCTGAGCATCAGAGGAAAAATACTGAGAACATTTATTACACTTATACTCATTGTATTCATTTTGTTGAGTTTCAAACTCATTTGAGAGCTCGTATTGCTGATTTGAATATACATTCTGTTGGTTTGAGTATTGATAATGCGCAGCTGAATATTGATAGAGCTCATTCGAATGTTCACCATGTTCATTAGAATATTCTTGATGCTCAGTGATATATTGTTGATGTTCAGTTGCATATTCTTGATGTTCATTTGTAAATTCTTCATTTGAGTGTTCATTTTGTTCATTAGAATACCAGTATTCCTCTGAATTATCTTCAGTATTTTCATAGTGTTCATTTGTATGCTCTACATGTTCATTCTTATCACCTAAGGATTCACTGCTGTGCTTGTTCATATGTTCTGTGAAAATGTTCAGATCCTTGCATACTTCTCCACATACCATGCACACCATTTTGGAATGAATTTTAGCATGTTCTTTTAATTCTGATTTCTTTGAAAATGACTCTTCACATTCAGAGCATTTTAAATTGGGTGAATGCATATTATGCAAATGTCTTTTTAATGATTTTAAAAGTTTAAAAGTAACACCACAGTCAGAACAAGTGTGTTTTTTCTTTTTACCTTTGGCGATCAATTTCAGAGCATTTTGATCACACTCATGGAATTGAAATTCACAGAAATTTTTTAGTTCTTTTCGACATCTTAGACAAGACATGGGTTGCCCAGGATGCGATTTTATATGACTTCTAATGGCTCTTGGATGAGTCAAAGTTTCGTTTGTTTCATAACAGACTAGAACTCTTCTCTTTATGGGGACATCTGCCTGCTCTCTTTTGGGATAGGCATGTGCTTTGATAGTTCTTTTGGCTTTCTCCTTAGCAGGCGATGCTTTTTCTGAGGTGATGCAATTTAGAAATGTTGGTGATTTTGATTCAAGAATGCTTTTGATCGAGTGCTTCATAAGAAATCTTCTTGTGATTGAATTATTTTCATTTCTATCTTTATTTTTAACATGATCATCTGGTTTGAGAAGAGCAGCAGACTTCCTGCTTTCAACTTTCTCCACACGTTTGTCCTCAAATGAGTTCAACTGATTTTCATGTTGTTCACAATTGGATGATATGTGAATAGTACTGCCCAATAAGGTTTGAAGTTTCTTAATTGAAGATTCTAAGATTGTTATAGCTCTTTCTTGATCTCTTCCACTTAGCTTTACAAATGTCTCCTCTACAACTTGTACCTGATAAAATAAATGCAATAAAATAAAATCTTAAGAAGATTGTGAAGAGGTTTTCTAAAAAGTTCATGTATATAGGGGACACTGTTATCATCAATTTTCAATCAGATGTCTGTATATATTTCCTGCAATATGATGACCAGAGTTCTGTGATATATGTTGCAATTAAGGGCGCAAACACGTTTGTTTAATGGAATTGCAGGAACCGCAGATGTTTGAGATTTTCAATCTCTTTTTTGGCTTCTCTTGTTTTGGCTAATAAAGAAAGTTCATCACCACCATCCCCACCAAAACTTAAGGTAACTATTTCTGCAGATTCCATAGACATAAATTGAAACAATAACTGCTCCCCGAAAATTAGGTCAAAATATGCAAGTTCTACAAAATCGCAGATTCCATTGAGCTCACAGGAATAATCTTTGCAATATTTATATTTATATGTGGTCGATTTTATTTGAGATTGTAAAAGCCAAACTAACTGAATCGTTGGTGACTTGATAAGAGTAGCCTAATCATTTCCATTTTAGTGTGCGATGAGGCTTTTCCAGTCTCGTGACCTAATTTCTGCACAAACGTCAAAACATTACATCGAAGCCTCTTGTGAGCTTTGTAACCGCTTATACCTAATCTGTATATTCCCTTACCTTCATGAAGAACGTTGGTAGAGATTCTGCCATTATAATACGATTCCAATCAAGAATAAATGTTCAGACAGCAACGGCCATTTTCCAAACAACATCATAACCCTCTTGGATTTAAGAGGGACCAGTTATTATTCTTTCATTAAGCGACAGTCAATATTTTTTTTATTCCTCAAACTTTTTTTCTCTTATTCTAATAGCTTTTCTTTGGGTGGGGTGGGGGTTAAAACCTTATTGTAAACATTGTTACATACAATGTTTAATGTAAACAAATCCTGGGAAGACAAGTTCTCAATAGTTTTATTATACAAAGAGCAAAAATAAAATAAATACATTATTGTTTTGACAATCACCTTGCAAAAAATCAAATGATCAAACTTTACCAAAAGCCCTCCATTTGTACCTCTTTTGATAAATTTTGATTGTCCGGTTTTTTGTAAAATGAGATCTGTACATGGTAAGTATAATATTTTCAACAATGAGGTTTATTTCAACTTAAATGATTTTTTTCCTCCAATCTTATAGGTGAAGTTTAGATTAGTCCATCTCATGATTAAAGATTAATCTAAGATATTGGTGCACATTAGTAAACATTCTAATCAAGAACAATGAGATTTTATGTTCTAACTGCCACAGCCCATTGGTCTGAAGAGGGTTACAAAACACCAGGCATTGTGCCAAGGGGGAAATTTTTTCCCAATCTCATGCTTTAGTCTTTATCAGTTTATCCTTAGCCAAATTCACTGTATAAGAAGTATGTAATATGTCTATACATCTTTGAATGATTGGATGACTACGGTGGGCGAGAATCAGAAAATTTGTATGCAACAGTAGTCCTTTTATTAAGAACATGTCATACATTAAAACTAAACACTGAAGTTTTAAAGGGATTGTAAATAGTATTTCTAAATTTTTTGTATTTATTAGGGACATTGATGGCATCAATTTGCACCATTCCAATTTTCAATCAGACGTATGTTGCTTCTGCAATTCCGCTAAAACTAAGTGTTTTATGACATCTCCCTGCAAAATTTGCATGTATCACCTGAGACCTTTGCGTGGTTGACGTTATAAAACGCTTAATGTTAGGAGAATTGCTAGTACCACAGACATTTGATTGAAAATTGGAAAAGCGCAAATTGATGCTACCATTGTCTTTAATACCCATACAAAATTTGAAAACCTCTTTACAATCCCTTTAAGATATTTCAATTACAATCAATTTTGTCATGTATTTTTAGCCACACCCACAAAGTTAATATAACATAATTTATATAATGGATCTCATCCAGACAAATCAATCTGGGTAGACCTTATGTGATTTTGTTGATGGTTATTAGCTGTAACACTCTTTATCACTAATTTTCACCAAGACTAGGAAATATATCGCAGATTAACGTACGAGCGTAAACATTATAAATTAACCATGTGATAGAAAATTAATGTTTTTGTTCACTGAACATGCAATTTTAGTCATACAAATTTTTGAGAAACGGGGTTCAGGTACCCATAAATCTGGTCATGTGCATGTCCTAAATAAAATAACTATATTATTATATAAGGTAAGGATATGAAGGATTCAAAACTTTTAGATAATCTTAAAATCAGATCTAACAAATACAATCACTAATAAACGGATCAATCAGTAACAAAAGGTACATATTCATCTAAATGTTTGCTTTAGTAGAGGATACATTTTTATTCATCTATCTGTATCACTTTTCAAAATTAAAACTCACTTATAGTTCCTATTCAAGTTTAATAATGGCGTCCATGAGAGTCATTTTAACATTTGCCATATTACAGTTATTGCCACCTTTGGTCAATTGCTACATGTATATTACATTTACTTTGAGTACTTAAAGGGATTGTAAATAGTTTATCTAAATTGTTCATGTGTATTGACGACACTGATAGCATCAATTTGTACCATTCCAGTTTTCAATCAGACGTAGGTGGCTTTTGCAATTCCACTAAAAGTTTGAAGTCAGTATTGCAAAAGCTGCTGTTGACATATAAGGACCTTTGCAATAGTGATGCCATAAAACACATAGTTTCAGTGGAATAGCAAGAACCACAGATGTTTGATGAAAAATTGGAATGGCAAATCTATGCCAAATTTCAAATTGTTTTATAAAACCTCTATACAATCCCTTTCATACATGATCCATGTTGCAGTGATTAGTGTAGTTCAATAGTTGACTGTTATACTATTAATTATATATTATATAATATATAAACATTTGGTAACTTTTCACAACAAATCAAATTGTTTAAACAATACAACAAAAATAAAATTATTAGTTTACATTATTCATTCAAAATACACATTTAGCTGAATAGACACAAAATATATTGCTTGATATGAAAGATCTACAGAGGTTCATGAGATCAGTCTGCAGATTTTAACTGGAAGTAATAATTGACCAAATCTTACTATAATGAAGATCTAGAGATTGCTTTTCAATGTTTTTCTGCGAGCAAGTACACCTGTCATCCATGATCCGATGACATTTTGCTTTAAATTGTGTTGATTTGGAACTTTTACCCACATGTTCAGACTAAGCAAACAAAAGAATTGTTAGAATTTGGATGATGATTTAATATTGGTTGAAAATTCTAATGAGAGAACATGCATTACTTTTCAATTTAGTCAGATCATAGATGGTAAGTGGAAGCACCCATAGAAAAAACATGAAACAATCAGTATTTTAATCAGATCATGATTGAATAAAGGAATACATTGACATACCTTTTTATTGGTTATGCAGGAAAGCATTAATGGCTAAGATAATCCTTTCTCTAATTAAACACAAAATGTAACGAGCTGATGAAATGGTCTGGATAATCAGAGCCCTATATTAGTACAAATTTATAAGTTATATGGGGTTAATATATATTAAGGATTCAAAATAAGGATATACAAATAATCAAAGGATTAAAATCAGATCTTACATGGTAGGCTACTGCCAATATATACACAAAAGAGTAATTAAGTATATGAGACAAAACATTAATTAAGTAGGATATCTTTAATTGATGAAATTTCAAGCCTTTGCTTAATAGTATTTCCACTAAAGTCAACAATTCCGTATATCTCTTCTTCATGTTGGACATGAGCTTAGATAATGCCATACTATATCAAATGATGTACAGTGGTCCAATTACCTAAAGCTGACCACTGATTCTAACCAAATGTTGAGTTATTTCACATTCTCAGTACAATCTAGTAGGTCTCTGCAACACATCCTGATAGTAAGACTAGATCATGTCTTATTTTAGAAAAATAATGTAAGGATTATAGAGGTCAGGCTATGTACTCCTCACTTTTTTTTTTTGATTTGTCATTAGTATTCAATTCTTAATTAACAAGTAACCATCCAAGTGTTCAGTTAGTCTATCTTTTCCAAACGTCTTGTAGTTTCCTATTGTACTAGTTGTGTCTTTCAATAGGATACTGTAACAAGACAAAATGTTAAGTAAATGCAGGGCATACGTCATTAGCACATGAATAATAACAAATCTTAACTACTGTTTGATATTGCTTTTCCCAATAAATATCAGCCATTTTCCTACAGCAGCCAAATTCAGCCATTAATTACTGAAAAGTATATTATTTCAATTCAGTTTCTAAATTGTTTGAAATTAAATGCAGAATGATTTCCAGATTTATGATGATGCCACAGAATGATCCGAGATGCCGTCGCTATTTCCATCAATCTTCATTGCTGCTCCTCTTTTTTTAATCATACTAGGATCGAAATCTGGATGACGTCTAGCATGCTTCTGCAGATGATCGCTTCTCATAAATTTCTTCTCACAGATTGGACAACTGAATCTTTTTTCACCTGCAAAAATATAATTAAAGCATTGAAATACAAGTCATGTTTTTCATTGTGATCTGGCCCAAAAATATTCACATCAACTCAATATTCCAGCTTGTTTACAAAGAAGGCATTAAACATGTCCTTAATCAAAGACTTGAATTTAAAAGTGTATTTCTATTTTCTTACCTGTATGAGTTCTTAAATGCCTGGCAAGTTCATCAGATCTGGCAAATTTTTTACCGCAACCACTCCAATCACATGGAAATGGTCTTTCTCCTATAAAAGAAATTAATGTTATAATCAGAAATCTAAAGCTATAAAAATGTGTTGTTTCTTTGGGTTTTGAGCTCAATGTTTTTTTGTAGATGAGGGTGTGCTATAATACCTGGCCCTTTAAGGACTCAAATATAAGTATTAGAGGCAGTAGAATTCTGTTGAATTGCTGTTAGATTTACAGGGAAGCTTGTTGTCATATTTCCAGTGCATGGTTTTTGACATTCACAAAAGTTGTGATTACCGAAATTAAACTTATAAAAATTGTATACAAGTATAAGTATAATCCCTGCCAGTGACAACAGGTTAATTTCTTGCTTTACATAATCCAATCTTTATTCTGATAAGTGACAAGGGTAGCTTAGATTCAGGTCTTACAGCTGGTATTGAGCAATTATCCTTTAAGAGGGTTATAACATATGTTTGGGAAGTTTATATTGATTCAGTTCAGAATCTCAACTTAACTCAACCAACTTAAACATGCTAGGTCTACTGAAGGATTTGGAAGCTGTGGCAATGTAAATTTTAAGAAACACACCCACACTGTGCGAACAAAGAAAATAATGTTACATGTCTTGACCTACTGTATTCTAAAAATAGCACTGATTTAACATCTGCTTAATATAAAGGATAAGGCCATACCTGTATGGGTTCTCAGGTGTGCTTTTAAATGTGAACTCTTTCCATAAACTTTTCCACAATCATGATAAGGACATTCGTGCACTTTTTTACTTGAGGATGAATTTCGTTGCATTATGATTTTTCGAACTTTTGACTTATCGTCAGTTTCTTCTTCTAAATAGATGGGCGTGGTCGTTTTAAAGATTTTTCGCTTCAAATCAGTACAAGTTTGCATATTTTCAGGGATTGTTACACTGTTGTCAGGGATACCTTCACTATCGTAATCTATTCCAGCCGTTTCTTGTTTTATTGAACTCAAATCAGTTAAAATTCTTGCGAGCATAAACAAAGAATCAGGTTGACCCTGATCTCTTCTTGATATTGTTGTTGTGGTTACTGCACTATCTCGATTTTCCGAACTTTTAATTGCGTTGTTATTGACTTCAATATCGTTAGCAGAATTTGACATCGCCACCAGGCATTCAGCTGCTATATTAGTATCGCTGTCATGTCCATCTTTTACAACTAAGGTCATTTTTTATGGCATTGGCACAAATTAAGATACGTGTGCTTCGTTTCCAAGATAGTGAACCACGCCCTCGCATGAAAATACGACAAAAACACTTATTTTTCACAGTAACAACAATATTTTGTGCTACAAGAGTAAATTGTCTGAATTAAATTTTAAAGTACCATAAAATACACTAATAAACAACACCAAACAATTCAATAAGATTCCGTTATATCATAAATTCACTTTTCTTGCAGACATATTTCACAAAGTAAACCATTTTCTTTGACCGCGTGCTGTGGGCGTGACCCTTTCTCCAAGGTGGAAATGACGTCAGAGCAAGTGCTCGATTTCTGATTGGCTTAATCGAGCAACGCCCGCGAAACCGATTGTTTTTCTTTTACGCTATCAGCTGTTCGGAATGACATTTTTTATACAGTAGTCTTCGGGATAAAAGTAACGGTAGCGACCGTGTCAATCAAATTTTAGAAAATTGTTAGGAGGGCATTTGAAACATGTCTTTAGTGCTGTTACACTCTTTGAAACTATTTCTGCACTTAGTTATGTCAAATAATTGAAGTAATTGAATTTACAAAGGAAAACTTTTGTTGGTGGGCGGAGTCAGCACTATTTATATGGAAAACCACGCCTACTATTCTCAGAGTTCAGAAATCCATGACCTTTTGACGTAATATCCGTCTGGTGAAAAATAAACAAGAGGAATAATAATATTTACATCGTAATATTGTCAAATCTATGAATTTTCACAGTTTGGGTACATTGGGAGCTTGGAAATTAAGCAGCGTATTTACACATCGTTAGAGTTTTGTGAATGTGAACCATTTTATGTGTTATTCTTGTGATTAGATGGAAGAATGTTCTAGGAAACTGTTCGACACAGTGCAGACCATTGTTCCGAGTCCGAACGAGAAAATGAATTAACTCAATAACTGTCAAGCTGAGACGAGTTTCCTGCTAAAGAAAGACATTGAAGTTTCTCACATATGGTTTAAGTTCATGTATAAAGTCTACCAAAATGGTGAGGACATTCCAGAAGTATTTGCCAAACAAATGTCATCGTACCTACAGCTGTATTCACTGCAGAGCTCATTTAGCTATTCATGATGAATTGATATCAAAATCGTTTCAAGGAAGTCAAGGAAGAGCATACCTATTTAATGATGTAGTTAATGTTGGTTGTGGGCCAGCTGAAGAAAGAGTCTTATTAACTGGTCTCCATGCAGTGGCTGACATATTCTGTGAATGCTGCAAGACAACTTTGGGTTGGAAATATGAACATGCTTTCGAGTCTAGTCAAAAATACAAAGAGGGGAAGTATATCATTGAATTGGCCCACATGATAAAGGACAATGGATGGGAATAGTTTCTTGAACAATGTGATTTTGTGTGAGTCAGGAAGGAAAAAAGACCTTAGTTTCATCTTGCTATGTGAATTGATTTGTTTCTATGACTGCTTTAAATGATAAATATTTATTGTTCATGACTGATCTAAGCTGAAATGATTAGAAACATCACAATGGGCCGAGTTTTAAACGTTTAGAAAGGCTGTGAGGGGCATCAACAAAAATACCCTTATTTTCTTGATGAACTTTTAGCATAGCAACAGGATATCAATAAGATTAAGGATAAGACATATGTGCCAAGGAGTTCATGATAGGTCAAGTGAGTCAAAACAGACCTTAGAGTCAACAAAGTGACCATGTAAAGGAAATGGAAAATCATTTTGTATAGATATCATTGTGTCCTTATTATGTGTAGTGTACTTGGTGTTTTTTTTTTTTTTCATGTGACAAAAATGTACTTTGATGGAGCCATGCTGCCTTTCAAAGGCTAAACAAAAATCATGCTTGACATTTGCAAAGAATCACCAGTTTTGAAATTCATAGAAAATATGTATATATTTTGATATTTATTTTGACAGAAAAAATGTCAAGTCCTAACCGGACAGAATTTGTCTTCATAAGCAACTGTTGCCAAGAATTGAAATTGAACTGTCATTAGACAAGATCCAGAGCATGGATATTCTATTTTCTTTGTTTGGCACAGACACATGTTGTATTTTGTTATAATTATGGTATAATAATGTTGTGTGTGTTGGAATAGGGAAGGGGGGTAGAGGTTATCATCACCATTCTCTTTCAGTGCTATTTATAACTGTATCTAACTCTGGTTAGAAACAAAATATTTATATGTGCTACTTTATTTATTAATGCTTTGGTTAAATGACCTAGTAACCCATTATATTATTATGCGACTTCATTGGCTCTAATTATAAACAATAACAAAGAATATGACCCAGATTCAAATCAATGTTTTGTATTTATCATGTGTGATTTTGAAAGAAAGATATCGGTATTATTTATAAATCGTTGAGTTATTCTTTTATTTAAAATATTTGCCCCTTAGCCTTTGTGATGAAAATATAGCCTAATGCCCGATTTCTCAGTTAGCTTAGTTTCCATTTTGGTGATATATTGACATTGTACTGACTGATCTAAAAATAGACTCATGGCTTGATGATGTCTGTATTTGATAATATATTTCACATATTGAGATCTTCTATAATGTGATCCCAAAAGTCTTTATAAATTTATAGAAATTTAGCATTTTAGTATCTTTCTGGGATTATATTGCAGTTGCTTGGTTACCATGAACGTTATGACGTTATGTACCAATATAGATAAAGCTGAGGTTGTGGTCTAAGGGAGACAATTACAACTTACTTTGGTCCGAAGCCAAAAATATTAATGCGTTCTTCGATATAAAACTAAATTTAATAGCAGATAATGGTTTATCTCGAAATTCATGGATATAGGAGTCATAATAATCTAGGGAATGAAGTTTAACTTGCTACTGACAGAATAGGAATGCACTTTGATACGACTGCAAGTAACTTGTGAAAGGGTTAATTAAGGCGAGTTGAAAGAAATATCGCCAAATCCCTAATCGCCAATTTAGAGGAGGCTGAGATGATCTCCAGTGTGTGGTTAGAGACGAAAAATCTTTACAAACTTAAAAGTTTGAAATGAGGATTTCTGACATTCGGGACCTTGTGGTCCAAGGCAGACAATTTTAACCTTTTTTGGTCTGAAGCCAATAATTTTTTTTGTATTCGCTTACACTGCACACACATCTTGCATGATTTGCATATTCAACCGTCTTCCACTTTTTCACCAATAAGCTTCGGTGGAATAAATGTTCAAAGTATGGCCTGGAACCCGATGCTTAAAAAGTTATGCAAGATAAGATTTCTTGACATAATTCACTCGATTGAGAGCAAAATTTCTCTCCCTGTACACTTTGTTGCGCGTGTTAAAGGATCAGAAAAGTATGACATTAAACTCCATTTGTTTTTTTCTTATCCACCAATATTCTTACTTTCAAATGCATAGCAAATGTAATAGTTTCATGTCTGGTTGTTGAAAGTTGAGATGGAGATCAGTGGCTTAACTAGATAAGTGGACTTCATTGAGATGGGACCCCTTCGCCGGGAAATATTTTATTACGCTCTCCTGCCATTTTTTTCTGGGGCCCCAGTTGTTGAGCCACTGATGGAGATCATTCATAAGAGAGGAAAAAAGGGTCAACATCCGATATAATGAAATGTAAAAAATTAATGTGTCATTTGTTTTATTTAGAAAACAACATTTCTCTAGGCAGTGGTTTTGGTTTAACTAATTTAGATATCTTTGCTCTATCGGAATACGTTGCTGCTATTTTCGGTAACTGACCAAGATCGGCTGCTGAGCATGGTCGTTGTATTGCTGATTTCTGAAATAATGAGATCGAAAATATCTCAAGCAAATTAAACATAGATTTATGGAATAGCTTGGTTCCCTATTGCTGCTTGAGGAAAACAAGAGATTGACACCGTCAACTAGCACCGCCCTTTTATCGTCTTTATTATACTTTTATAAACTTAAGCGGATACGAGCCCCGTTGATTTTTCAGATGCATATCGTTTGTTAGAATGTTTTTCTAAAAGATCTGGAAATCAATAGCAGAAGTCAGCTTATTCACAAGAAAGCTTTTGACCTAACTGACGACCAAGATATGAAACAAGGGTGCATTAAGACAATCAAAATACCGGCCGTCATAATTATATTGATTCACCAACCAGATAAATACATAATCATAAATATAGAGATCTTTAAAAGCATACCTGATCCTCTGAGGGTAACGAGATGATTTGAGAGAAAGATCTTTCTCTACGGTAAAATGCCGATGATAACTGTGGCGATGGTGATGCTGACGTTACACCATTTGTATGCGAAGATGTTGCTGAGTTAGGGTGATGACCATTCGTCTTGGCTCCATTAGATCGCTGGTCGATGAATATTGGTTGTTTTTCTGTGAACATTCTGTTGAAATTACAGTCTCTATTGCTCAACTCTAAACGATATTTTTGAATTTCTTTACGTAATTTTTCTAGTTCTTCACTTTCCTAGAAACAATTTTAGAAACTTATATTATGCACATGTATAATGAATTTAAGGGAATGTAAAGAGTACCTTAAGTTAGTTAGTTAGATATTAACGATTGATCAAATTTACGATAGCAGAATACAAGGGATTGATTATATCATGATCAGAGCGATTTTATGTGACCACGTATTATATATTCACACTTGTCCGAATCAAAATTTGTGATGTTCCATAATATTGATTAAAAGTTGCATATTATGAAAACAAATGATAACTTTCTGTGATGCTCTCACAATGTTCTAAAAAAAAACCTGAAATAGATCACAATATTATGCTCTTTACGTAACATAAAATAGACTTACTGAATAGTGCACACTTTTAGAAAGTCTACCAACTTGGTTAGCTACAGTTTCGGTCACTTTTCTACTGAAATCTCTTTTGTAGGATTTTAAGTCTGCTTCCAGCTGTTTGATTCTAGAATGTAAAGATTCTCTTGTTTGGTAACTATCGTCTAAAGCACTATGTATATGAGTTATTTCCTCGCGTAGTTTAGCTGCGTTGTTTTCGGCTTCGCGCATTGTCAGTGTCATTTCTCTTTCGGTTTCTTTTAGATTTTTTTCCAGAATTGCTGAACGTTTTCTCAGTTTGTCCATTTCAACCTCTTTCCGCTTGAGTTCTTCATTTTTATGAACAATCTGATCGGAAACACCACATCTGAGTTTTTCGATGTCACCTTGAGCATTGATTAACAGGTCTCTTAAATTCTGACACTCCGTTTTCTCATCGTGTAAAGATGACTCTAAGTCCTTCACTTTCCTTTCGTATTCATCCCTCATCGCTTTCAAATCCAATTGCTTCTCGGAGTTTTTCTGTCTATTTTTCAGTAATTCGGAAATTTGTTTTTCCAGTAACGAAATCTTGTTTTTTGCATCTTTGATCACAAGCTCGATCTCGTGTTCATACGCATCTTTAAGTGCTTCCATTTCAATTTCCTTTTCATGGTTCCTGGTGAAAAGCATGTGAACTACTTGCGTTAGCTCAGCAACCTTTTTCGACATTCGAAATTCGAACGTTTTCTTTGGTTTATCCATGGCGTCTGTTGTACTTAGGTCTTTATTGAGAAGATATTAGATATGAAACTCCACTCAAGATTTGTCATGTAAACTAAAAAAGAAAAGAAAATCAGATCAAATATATTATTTACATATAGACAATATAATAGAGAAAATAATATCGGAGTCAATTTCGCATTTAAAGAGACTTTATAGCAGTAGAATGGCAAAAATGATATTAAGCAATTCCGCTCTATCTTTAATTAATATTATGCAGCTTATCAGTGTGCAGGGTAATAAAATGGCTTCCACTCAGAAATACATTCCCGCTTCAGAGTGCGAAGCATGTCGATTTCGTGGCCGAGGTTTTGTTTTTGGCAATTATGAAAAAGCTCCTTTAAGCAATGATAAAAATAAAACGGGTTTCACTTTTTGAGTAGCTCATAGAAATTTTAAAGCTGTTTTCTTGTTTGCCATGATTTAATATAACCGAAACACTTCAAATATAATCCATGAGGTTTATTTTCCCATTAATATATCTTATGTTATTTTGTAATTGCTTATTAATAACAAAGGTAAATATGAAACATAATACACCACTTAATGGCTTAATAAATACTGTCATATTCAATATAAGAATATACAGTACGCTTTATTTATAACGTGTCGAATAGGTCCTTAAAACCTTATCAAACATTATCGAAACTAGGCCTAACTAGCGAATACAGATGTTAGCATATTTAAATCTAAGATCATCTTACCGTCATTTTTGAAAGTTTTAACACCTCGATTCAAAGTTTGACATCCAGATGCCGATATCAATAAAAGACTTGTAAAGGAAAAAAACAGGAGCCCAACTGTAGACTCGATTAGACACTTAATCATATCCGGAGTATTTTTGTCGTTAGGTCTGTTACTAACGACGCCTCTATATATCTAATCTAAACTAATACGATTTTATCTATTGATCTCTATGTAATATAAAGATCGTGTAAAAGGGGCTTAAGATAATCTCCACCTGCCTTTGATAGCAGGACGTGAAATTAATTTCTTTTGTGTCAAATCACATTTTTCTTCTTCAAATTTTAAGTATTCAAATTAATACAGAATTTTTTTAGACCGTTGCAGAAAAAGTCGAACATTTCTTCTGTAAAATAATATTGTTTAAATTTTCAAGTGTCAGTCTAATTAAAATTATACCAAACTTTTCTTCCGTTTTTGATAAGCTTTTATTTTTATTATAGCCACTTCAGTTAGGGTCTAACGACAGTCCTCTTAAACGTTCGTCAAATTAACCTTTGACCTGATTTAAACAGATAAATACCGCGTCACAAAATGCCAGCTATTGAGATAGTAGAAATTTTATTGGTTAAATCGGACGTCATCGAGTTAGGTTAAAAGATTTATTTGAAGAAAGTTCAAGAGGACTATCGTTAACTGTCTACCTTTGTAAATTTAGTGTCTCCAACTTTTGGGCTTACTCTGTCGAAGTCGATTTTTGAAAACATGCAATTTCTCTTCTGGGCTGAAATAGAGGCAGGACATTTAAAACCTCATTTGAACAAAAACTCTTTTGGGTAAAAATTTGCGAATGCGTTAAGGACCACAATTTTGAAATGTTACCGTTTAAAAACTTCCAAAGATGAACAGTTGCAATTTGAACTATTCTTCAAGTGCTTTCATATCTAATGTTTAGTTAACACTTTCAGTATCCTAACCCCAAAAATCTATATTTCTTTAAAAAAATTTGTGGTTAAAAAGTCACACTGGAATCAGATGTTCATTTTTATTGTCAAAGGGAGGTAATTTCAATTTCTTATGGTCTAAAATTAATATCATAATATTATTAGTCTGTATAATCTAGTCTGTGCTACTTCCTTGTCAACGCCTATAAAGATTTAAGCAATAACCTCTGATATATTACTTAGCTCAAGATATTTTCATTATTTATAAAATAAATAGGACTTCAAGACCTACATGTACGTTTAACAATGCCCAGGTTCTGCCAGACTTCTCGAACCACATCAATCAGAGCGGCACAGTTTTGCTCATCCAAAACGTAATACCATTCTACAACATTCTAATACTGTATACTGTTGTGAAATTAAACCTGACTATACTGTAGGCTAATCATGAACCTTTTCTGCAGCTAATGCAGACGGAGAAACGCCATGTTGTGTGCAACGAGAAAATTTTGCCGGGACAGCGCATCAGTCTGCTCTGTAATATTTCCAACTGTCGGGGCATCTTTAACGTGCACAGCCTGTAACGAACGCGGTTTATTGTCCAAGCCAAATAATAGTGGCTTTGTCGTGTTAGCTCCCCTGTCTTTCATCAGGGTAAGCAGTTTCAGAATTTATGCAGGAATCAATAATTCAATTATGCTTCTGTACCCATTTGCAGCACTATAGTCCAAAAGGAAATTCAAATCGCCTGCATACCCATTTCAAAACAAGTGCATTGGTCATTAACTAAGTTTAGGAAGTATACATATATATATAAATATTTCTATAATAGCCATGGTATTCTCATGGTCAAAGGGAGATCATTTCAGTTTCGTGTGGTCTGTAGTAAATAACGGTTAGCCTTGTAGCCATGAGTGAAAATAACCTTTATTTTGAGATTCAATAAAAAATCTTATGATTAGTCAAAATTAAATCGGCGATTCAGATCAAATTGTATATATTTCAATTTCCCCCCTCGGACAAACCTGGCTCCGCCACTGCCCCGGTATTCATAACTCTTCTCCATTTTTCTTACTAGCCCTCAACTTAAAATTTCATTTTTTCTTATAAGTAGAGCGCTTAATGAGAAAGGCGCCTAAGCTCTTGAGCTCAAACAATGTATAATATAGCATAGTAACTTCGGCTTTACATCTAAAAGATAAAAAAGATTGACTTTTTTCAACCAAGTGAAGCTGTTAAGTGTTTTTCACGATATAAAGGTCAAAATGGAAACATAATTCTTCGAGAGGACTTGAAGATAACCTATATTAGGCCAAATGTAAAATTGGCTGCAATCTTACCACGAGAGATATGAGAAATAGGGGATCACGGAACACACCCATAATAAGTTTCGCTTATTGCCAACATAATTGTATGAAAGACGACCCAAAATAGTTGTCTCTCAAATGTGACAATTTTGCTATTGTTTAATTTTATTGATCTTCTAATTTCGCAGTAGTGTAGTCTGTGATCTTAATAAAATACATTATGAACATTTTCTCCGTAGAAATCCAGCGTAGACAATTCAGAGAGACTTGACAACAACTGTGCATATTACAGAGAGCCTTGACAACCATTGTACAAATTTCAGAGAGGCTTGACAATCTGCAGAGGGCCACTGTAGTCATTACAGAGAGCGTCTGTTTATATTTAACAGAGATTTAACAACAACAATGTTGACATTTCACAGAGCCTTATAACCAGTGTGTACATTACATTACAGAGAGCTTAGTTGCATTTAACATTCTTAATAACCCTTGTAGACATTTCACAGGGCCATAACGGGTAGTGTTGACAATATTACAGAGAGCCTTTACAGCCACTGTGGGCATTGCTAGGAGAGAGCCACTAGAGACAGAACCTCAAAGGCATTTCCTTTCAGAGAGCGTTAACATCCACAGCAAACATTTCAATAGATTCTTGGCAACCCCTGCATACCTTTCAATTTGCACAGGAAGTAATGAACAAGTTTATAATCTACTCATTATAAGTGGTAATTATTATCAGTGTCAATGTAGTATAAACATCATAAAATATATATTTTATTTTACGTAATATAATATTTCTAAATGAAATTGTTTACGAAGGAAAATGTGTAGGAGAATCTTATATCCGCCTTCAACACCGATACATCTGCCGATGAAGGTAAAAATTTTTGTTGTTTGAATATTGAGACTCCATCATTTCTTATCAGCTTATACAGTCTTTCACACGCATTTACATCCATTTTAATAAAATCCACCTGTTATGGTTATTATATGATAAGCCAAGATATTTTGCGATCTTTAATTTGTCGAAATGACCAAAAATTGATGATCAATCCAAAGCGGTGCCACAGGTATTTAATGAATGAATTATTAATATTTTATGTTATACAAAGAGGGACTCCCTGCATAACGGAACATAAACCACATAGTAAATGGGAACGCCGCGTAAGGTCCATTTGAGCTAATTCCTATTAGGGCTAATTCCCAATTGAGCTGAAATTTATACAAACTGACTATTCTCGTTACAGCCACTTATAAATCGTATTCATGATAAAGACTTGAGCAGGCAGTTGGATCTACTTAACAACAATAACGGAAGTTAAAGATTTATATGCTTATATTTATATATTATGATATACTTTCTAATCATCTATAAAAATAGATACCTTATGGCTTCCCATTGATAAGGCTTTTGACTTGCACTGTTTTGTTGAAAATCTTGACGATTTTTGCTTTTTATGGAGAATAGATTATCAATTTTACACGTTCGATGTGTTTTGGTTTTTCCTCCTAATTAGTAGGTACCCCTAGCAACCCTAACGGTGAAAAAGTAGCTCAAATGGGAATTAGCCCTAATGGAAGAAATCGTGTCCGCGTTTTATGCGGACCTTAACCGCCTGTATTCGCTTCTCTATTTCCTACTGTATCGATAAACCCACACCAAAAACCACACCGGACCCTCTGACGTTTTTGGATATTTAATCGCCGTTACATCCAAATACCAACCTAGGCTTGGAACTAGTTTAAAGATATATCATACAAATTTTAGCATGTAGAATGTTGAGAATAGCACCTTCCTCTCGATATTCACAGTTTGTCACTGTTTTTCTGCAGTTTTCAGTAAGGGGTTAATTAAATGATATTTTACAAAATACTGGGATGATTCCATTCAATATAGAAATGACTTCTAGAACTACACAACATTTATTTGTTCTTGATAATTTTTTAGATGGTAATATTTTACATGGAACCATTGTTGCCGTCCTAATAATTGGTGTTCTTTTAGGCATCATCATCATCGCTATTCTTGTATGGTTTGTTGCCAAAAACAGGTAAGTTCTAAAACAAGCCTTTTTATGAACGATTTGAATAGACATACACTGTGAGACCACAGTATTGCATTTGCCAACTATTTTATATGAATTGAATCATAACATCCGAACTATTAATATGATTTGTCTTCAGGTTGATGAAAATGCCAGCTGTGGAAAGAATACTTATTTGGAAATATATATTTATATTTTGTTTTAAATGAAACATTGTCTAACCTTATATTAATGGGTCCAAAGGAAAAATTTCATTTTGAATATTTGAAAAACGATATAAAAAACATTCAATTCAGAGCTCGCTGTGGTCGGAAAGTAGAATGTCATAAGAAAAAAAATGATTTGATAACTCCAGATGATAGAACGAATTTCACTGATACAATGTAGTTTTATTAGAATTGGAATACAAACCTTGTCTTGAAATGTCTTGGCGTTCATGTAAATAGCAGCACAGTGTTTATCTCTCTGGAGTTTGTTTTTACAGAGGACGCTTTTCAGCAACAATTTGGAACAATTTTGTTTGAAATATCTGGCATGGACGGATGGGTGTATTTATTGTACACTTAAAAAATTTATATTTTTATCAACGTAAAGTCGTTCTAAGAATATCGGTAATGTTTTAAAACAGATATTCACACTTTTGAAAATAGGCAAATTTCGATTTACCACCAAATTTGCGAAGACAGCTGGTGGACAATTATACTCATATAATGGATTTTTTATCATATTAAAAAACCCACTTGAGAGTAAAATAAAGCGTGTCCGACGTTTGAAAGGTCAAAATACAGTAAACTAGTGATCCCTAATCCATAATCAAATAGAAAGTCACTTATAAATATCTAAAGTTACATATCACCTGCCTTTTAAAAATATGTTATTCATCTTTATGCAATCTTCTATTACCATTAAAGTTGATGTTTTTTTTTTAATTGAAGGTTTCATCATGAACAGCAACCGACTTTTGTCTCGATCAATCCGGGTTATATGCAGGCATCAAACAGTAAGTCACATCGTAGACTTGATCGACATGATTATATGTTGCAAATTGCAAAGAACTAACGTTTGACATTTAAGAAAAGATGCGTTGTTTCCAAAACTAAAATCCGACATGAGCTTATGTGTAATTGCATTCATTTTAATTTTTTGTCTCTATCCCTTTCAGTCATTATTTACAACATGCACCTACTCCCCTTTTCCATTTACCCATCTCCATTATCACACAGTGGCACAAATGGGTGATTGGGGGCCCTTTCCCCAGTCTCTTGAATTTTTTCTTGGGTGGGGCCCGTGGACTTGGTTCAACCAGTCCCTATGGTAGTTGAGCTACTGCTATCTCAGCACAAGAGACACAGAACTGCATTTCATAGGATTCTAGTATAAAACTGATGTTCTCTTTTTAATCTGTTACAGTTTATAAACCTGATGGATGGGAGATAGAACGAGATAAAATTCAACTATTAGATAAAACATTAGGTAAAGGATCATTTGGAAAAGTCTGGGAAGCTGTTGCGAAAGACATTTTACCATCACAAAAAGAACCTATTAGAGTTGCAGTAAAGGTAATTGTGTTATTTTTTAATTGTTTGTATTGCTCTGGCCGACGAAGTATTTGACCAGTATCAAGAGTATTTATTTACGAATCCTAAAAAAAAAGTTTGAAGGATAATTTTTTTTGTATTTTACAGATTGTAAATGAAGGAGCTGGCTTGTATGATAGAATTACATTTTTAAAAGAGGCTTCTATAATGAAGTAAGTACATACTTTGTAAGAAATGAAATGAAATGAATGGAGTTTTACGTCCTACTCTTCTGCACCTTGAGGGCTAATGAAGACGGGCAACGCCATGCAGGGTGCTATGAGGGAAATGTTTGCCAAGACAGCGGCATTAGCCTGCTCTTTTTCGATTTCCAACTGTCGAGGGATCTTTAACGTGCACAGCCTGCAGCACACGGGGCCTCGGTTTATTGTCCCATCCGAACGATTAGACGCTTTTTCCATGTCAGCCCCTCTTACCTGCATCACTGACAGGGGGGAACCGGGTTGAAAAATCCGAAGGTATTATCTCAACCTATGCCGGGATTGAACCCTGGACCTTCAGGTTAGCGAGCAAGCTTCTAACTCACGGAGCCACCGCGGCTCCCTATACTTTGTAAGAAGGAAGCGTCACCAGTCAAAATACGCTGAATGTTTACCAAGTTGTATAAAATTCGGTTAAAAAGTGAACAGGTTAAGATAAAGTACAGTTCTCATTTTATTTGATTCACCTGTTAAACATATAACTGCGTCATCTATCTAAAATAGGTAGAAAACTGATGGGGATTATTTAGGGTAAATTTTACGGTAGGAACTTGCTAATGTATTATAAAATGGATTATGCTGCGATATTATATTATCCGCAATACGTCTGGTGTCAAAATATATTGTATATAAAAATTTTATTTTTTTTTAAAAAGATTATCATACTATATATTGTATTTTTGTCTGATCATTTTAGGGAGTTTAAATGTTATCATGTAGTAAGGTTATTAGGAGTTGTATCTATAGGACAACCAGCATTAGTCATCATGGAATTAATGAAAAATGGAGATTTAAGAAATTATTTACGTTCCTGCAGACCAAATGCAGAGGTAATAAGACTTAAATACAATTCTTGTATCAATTGTAGTTGTTTAGTTATATATAAGAAAAAACAAATTAAAAGGACAGGTTCGCCGTCCGTTTAACCAAACGTATCTTAGTCTCAGACACGGGAATTCTTTAGCTAAGCTTTTCCGTAATAGTATTCACGCCACACCTTTCAAAGTTGAGCCTTCAATTCCATGTGTGTTCAGAATTATCCGCGTTTGAAAGTTAAAAAGACTCTTTTCTGAAGTTGGAAATTTCACTGATTTTACCCTGCATGCCGTTTCCCGTCTTCATTAGCCCACATGGTGCAGACATAAAACTCCATTCATTTCATTGTTATGGTTAATAAGGTGTTATGTTATGTTGTGTGTGTTACCGTTGTGATGGTGATTAATGTTTTGATATAGTGCTATTTGCCTAATGCATTGTGATAATGAATAAAGCTCAGAGTCAGCAAACCTCCCATTCAATATGGTGGTGAAAAAACCGAATGTGAAAATTTAAGAAAGCACATGGATACTTAAAGAAAAATGAAAATGCGTCAAAACGAATCGTGTACAAAATCTTGACAATTTTAGGAAAATACGCAAAAAATTTTTCATTGATGTTAATAGATTCGTTTTCATTTTTTGTCACCATAATATTTTGTTTTAATTCCACCTTTAGACTATATTACACACCTTAATTGGCCTAAACTCCCTTTTAAACACTGTTTCAATTTCAGAATCCAAGAAATAATCCAACACTTGGTTTAAAAGATATTTTACAGATGGTAGGAGAGATAGCAGACGGTATGGCGTATTTGGCAGATAAAAAATTTGTACATCGAGATTTAGCAGCCAGAAATTGTATGGTTTCAGAAAATAATGTCGTCAAAATAGGAGGTATTATTCAATTTAAAGGGATTGTAAAGAGGTTTTCTAATATTTGTATGTGTATCAAGGACATTGATAGCATCAATTTAGCCAGTCCAGTTTTCCTTGTTTTTTTTAGTGTCAAATTAAGCAAACTATTTGATGAATTGGTTTTTCGATTGAATTATCACGTATTCTTAATCATTATCATTATGTTCTTATTGCATATAATTAAGAGTTAATCATTAATTTCCATGTATGTACAGTCTGGATAAACAAAAAGAGACTTTTGACCTTTCTTGATCGGTCACTCATTGGAATTCTGCTGGTAATTCTCTAATATAGCTAATTATGAATTAATTATGGACATGTGAGACAACCTGGTATTTTTCCTAGTCATTAGATTATCTCTACTTTCTATTCATATAAGTATTAGTATTTTCATAAATAAAGATAAGGGAACCCATCTTTGAATACAAGAACAACTTGGCAAGAATTATTTTATAAATATAATTAGTTAGTTCTATTTTGTTGTAGATTTTGGTATGGCTAGAGACATTTATGAAACAGAATATTATAAAAAAGCTGGCAAAGGATTGCTACCAGTGAGATGGATGGCACCGGAATCTTTAAAAGATGGTGTATTTTCAACCATGTCAGATGTTTGGTAAGGCATACTTGCATGTGATGTATTATATGAGTGACTGTTACATTAAAAGGAACAGGTTAGCCATCCGGTTTTAGTCTCAGAAACGGGAATTCTTTAGCCAAGTATATTCTCAGCTCACCGTCGAAATTTGAGTCTCCAAATCCATGTTTGTCCAGGAATATCTGCGTTTGAAAGTAAAAAGGACGACCCACTCGTCTTTTCTTCAGACTATACCGTATATAGAAAATCCAAATCAACACCCAAAAATGGCGAACCCTGTCCCATTAACTTTAATTTAGTTTAGAAGGTCGAAGTGTCGAGTTTAGAATGTCCAAACTATAGGCCTTGTTGGCGTTTTTGTATTTTGGCTATTCGATTGTGTTGCATTTACATTAATGCAAAGTTGTTTGTGCTTGCTAAAGCATCTGGAACCAGTAAATTCTGAGAGATTGATGTTCATTTGAGATGCCGTATGTGTCATTTTTGTTTTCTTATAAATATGAAAATGAAATTTATATTCTTTTACGTACAGGTCGCTGGGTGTGGTTATATGGGAAATGGCAACATTAGGAGCACAACCCTATCAAGGTCTCTCTAATGAAGAAGTATTAAAATATGTAGTCAATGGTAATATTAATAATAAACCCGAAGGATGTCCTGATAAATTGTAAGTCTTCAAGTATTTCAAGATTCTTGCATCATTTTCACAATTTTGATTTAACTGACTACACACAAAAGTACATGAGTGTAAAGCCGCAAATAGACGAGGTACGTTGTCCGATGCGGTGAACGGTGTGGAATGATCGATACAAACGAAAATAAAAGTGGTGAACACATGAGGTACGGGTGCGGACACGATTCGTTTTTTCTAATTTCAACTGCATCGATAATCTCACTCCGCGCATCGCTCTGGACACCCGTACATCGTCTATTCGCACCTTAACTGAATGTCGAGTACTTGCTCAATTAAAACGATGTATAACATTATAATAATTAATTCTATGATTATGTCTCTGTTTAGATATGTGATAATGAAGTGTTGTTGGAGATATAAACATACTGAACGGCCCACATTTAAAGAAATTATAGAAATGGTTATACCAAAGTTAAATCCAAGTTTTAAAGATGTATCGTACTTCTTTAGTGAAGAGAACACAAATAAGGAACGAGAACTTCCGTGTAATGTAGACAATCTAGAAGCTAGAGCATATCCCCAAGATTTAGACACTTGTGTTGAATACGATACCCATGATGAATCAACTATACCATTTATAGAACATCATACTGATAGGCTTCACAATCAGCGCTGTCCCAGTGTGTTGCATTTTAAAAACTCGGGGCCTTGTGAATGTGTCATGTTAGATGAGTTGAATAGTGAGGGTATCAGCCTTAATAACTGTAACCATGCCGACAATGAAGGAAGCTGTAAAAAACCGGAACAGCATGTTTGCTAGATTCCTTGACATTGTTTGTAATTAAAACCAAAGAATATAGTAAACATATTAACAAAAGCAGTTGATAGGAAGTTCAGGGACGACATTTAAAAATATCAATATGTAAAAAACTGAAAATACAATTGAAAAAAAAAACAACCTAATGATCAATTTAAAAAATTTATTTTTTTACGTAAAAAATTGGAATTTGCTTTTTTTTTATTTGCTTTTTTTTATACCAAAAGTGATACTATCCATATTTTCTTGCCAAGGACCATTCGGTAATCCTCGACAGTTTCCGTAAAGCTGACTCTTTCTCGGTAATGAATGGTGAATTTCGTTTTTTGTCTTTTTTGGCAAGTTTAGTTTCGGCATTTCACAATTATTTGTCAAGTGATCGTAAAAGTCTGCCATTCATTACCGTAATATGTTGCAGAGTGCTAGCTTTTTTATACCAAAAGTAAAACTTTTCTCTTCTCATACTTCCTTGCCAAGGATATATAGTAAATTCTAATTGTCGTATAGTATTTCGTGAGATTTCTGTATGTCATGTATCTAAGATCTAGGAACCAAAATAGATTAAGATAATTGTGAACTGTAGCCAGATTATGACCAAGTTTAAATATTTTGCTAATTGTAAATTAGGCTACTGTTGTATCGTAAGAAGTGACTGTGGCAGACATGACAAACAAAAAACAATATTTTTTACATGTTCCCACATGGTGGCGACTTTTTTTGCTGCACGCCTGAACTATATTCTCTCATATTATGCTAATGATTGTATAACAAATATAATCCGTGCAATTTTTAGAAATCCTCTTTCTCCTCTCCTTTCGGGGGTTTTGTATGCCTGTGTTTGACTAATTTTTGGTCTAGATTTGGAATTTGATGTCTGAAATTGCAGAATTTGTGAGATGATGAGAGATTTTCATGCAGAAGGATAATTCTAAAAATAGTCGTTTTGTGTGCATTCACAGTCAAGCGTTGAGAAAATGTTTCAGTTTGGCTAGCTCAATATTTTCATGGTCATGTTATATTGAATTTTTGTCCAGAAACTGAGCATTGGCCAGGCTTTCATGTAACATATTGGAAAGTTTTCAACGAGATTTCCAGAAAAAGTTATAGAAAGTTAAATTTTGAGACTTAACATAGAAAGGGAAGGGAAGCAACCCCTGAAGTAGTATTAGTAAAATCAAACTGATACCTTATCACAAGAATACTTAAAAAATATTTAAATTGCCTTCAGCTAAGCTGAATAATCAATAGTCCATCGGCACTCTGCAACAACTATACCAAAATTTCAAGAGTGGGCAAATGTTCAGTGACATGACAAAACTGTATGGTAACTGAACGTAGAGCAAAATTACCTGCCATGTTTGTTGAAGAAAAGCCTAAAAGGTCAATTTTGCATAGCTTCAGAACAATCATTCAAGAGTCTTCTTTTTGCACCACACCAATTTAGGATGTCTTTGATTCCCGTGCTTATGCTTATATGGAACGTTGGCGTTGATCACTGTGACATTATATAATTTTAATAGTAATGTATATACATGTATAACCTATATATATTTATACAATATATGTATATACTCTGTGTATATACTAACAACCATCAGTATAGGGATAGTGACGATGATTAGGGCTGATAGCCGACAAGATGGTGGTTCGACCAAGCGTTAGAAATGAAATGAATGGAGTTTCACGTCCTACTTTCTGAAATAAATTGGACTAATGAGGAAGGGCAACGCCACGCAGTGTACAATGAGGGAAATTTTGCCATAACAGCGGCCTTAGCCTACTCTTTTTCGATTTCCAACTGTAGAGGGATCTTTAACGCGTCCAGCCTGTAGCACACAGGGCCTCGGTTTATTGTCACATCCGAGGAAATATTCATATAGCCACGGGCAAGAATTTGTGATGAAAGCCGACACCAGACCTACTCTTGGGAGCACTGGCCGTGGTATCCCATGTTTTCTAACGCTGAGAAGGACTCAAGGTTCAATTGGGGTATATCTTTTAATGCAAATATCGGCTAAAAGTATTGTTGCATATTTACAAAATTCTGAAATTGCTATAGTTTTATTGAAGTCCAAAAGTTTACCAAAAATACAAATCTATTGTTACAAAATAGTACACTTGAAAAATATTCATAATATTATTCATGCTGTGACCTCACATGGTTAACCATAAATGACGTCATAATTGCAAAAGCTGCTAATATTTAATACCTAAGCGATAGCTACGTCTTAAAACTCCCGAGTTAAAAAGGAATTTGTAAATTTGTTAATATCAACACTATAATATTATGTATTTTAAGTTAAACATAAAAAAAGAAAAAAATGTTTAATGCTAAAATACTGCTAGGCTAATGTAGGCTAATAATTAAAAACATAAAAAAAGAATTACAAACAAATAAAATGTTAAAAAAACAGGAATGTATTCCTTTTGTAAATTTCCGGATAGTCTTATAATTGACATAATCAATAACTAATTAAAGAGAAATGCATATATCCTTCTGTTTATCATTTGGTTGATGGTTGACTCAGGAGACTGATTATAGTAGTGAAAACTGATCCGAATCCTGTAGTGCACTGAACGTATTTCTAAGGTTTAAGGAGATTTGGCTTGAAGAACAAATGATGTAAATTTAGTAATAAAATTGTTCTCAATTGCTAATTCAATAGCATCTTTTTGGGCTTTTTCAGATTCTGTACTATTGTAGGTAAAATATTTTCCAATTAGTTGTTTAATTTTTTTGATGTCCTGTAGCTTCTTCGTGCTGCTATTTTCATCAACCGGGCGAATAGTCACGGATTTGGATGTCATTTTCAAGTTTCCATCCTTAGAAATTCCGTGTACTACAACCGTATCAGCTGGAAGAACACCGGACTTCTTTACTTTTCCCGCAACAACAATCTCGGTTCCGTTAAAATACTGGTGGAACTTATTGTTAGTGGTTGATTCTACATATTTACTATCATAGTTAACTTTAACATCTAACAGCAAAGGATCTTTAATTTCATTATAAATATCCACAAGTTGTTCAGTAGCGTCTTCATCTTCATAAATTTGTCGTGAAAATCCATTATTTTCATTGGCCAAGTTCTCCAAGAAGTTGTGATCTGAATCAAAACCAAATCCAAGACAATATATAGCGGCAAAGCCTTTGTTTTCTTCCATAACATTCTTTCGTATCCGTTTCGTATCTGTTATACCACTACTTGGCTGTCCATCTGTCAGAAAAAATATAATCTGGGCTCGCTTCACATTTACAGAACTTGATTTCAGTGATTGTATGGCTTCAATTAGGGCGTCGTTGATATTAGTACCTCCAGAGGCGTAGAGATTGTCATTAACAAATGTCTTCGCTTTAGCAATATTTTTAGAGCTTGCCAGGGCGGGCGTAGATAACCAGGTCTCAACTAAAGAGGAAAAGGTAATGATATTGCAGTAATCGTTTGAATTCAGATTATCTAAAATAGATAGCATTGATTCCCGAACTTGCTGGATTTTGGTACCATCCATTGATCCACTATCATCTATTACAAATAGAATGTTCTTGTCCATGGTTTTAAGTCCACTTGGTGTAAAGCAGTGAACAAAATAGTATCCTTCTACAATTACATTATTACCAGCGTCTTTTTCATGTTTCAAATCATACTCAATTACAAGTTGTCCATTTATTCCTTTTGACGACACTATTGATTGTTGTATCTTTGTTGGTTGATAAAGAACACTGTTTACTGTTGGATCTAAAGTTGCTGACAAAGAAACAGATTTATCTGAGTTTGGAACAGAATAGGAGAAAGCCTCGAATCCTTGGTGTTCCATCACAGCCGCACTAACGGCTAATGTGTCAACCACCTGACCTGGATACACAAATATTTTTTGAGTGTAAAGTCCTAGTCGACGTTCTAAAAGTTCATTATATGTCAATGAAAGTGTCGTCTCCGCTCCAGCTTCTAGTTTTATATCTGTTTCAAAAATGTTAATACCCCGTTCTGTATTCGTCTCTGAAAATTTGACTTCAACATTTATTTGGGTTTCTGTTTCGTTGTTAGGAGTTGCCTTTCTTTCTTTTTTTGCAACCAATTTTCCCACATATTCCGATCCATCTATGAATATACTGAATTTCGACACGAACGCTTCCTCTGGTACAAGAACTAATAACTTTGATTTGACAGTATATGGATGGTTGTTTAGCAGCCGACTCTGGATATTGACTGTTGAAATCCGTTCAGCTACTGACGACGCTATGGTATATGTCTTCATTGACAGCTTCGCTTCATTGTCATGTGTTTTAAAACTGTCAGTGGATTCATTGTTACCCATGTTGAAGAATGTTTATGGAATGAGTGCAAATTATGAAATGTATGCTTTTATATTTTGAATTAAAGTAACATCCTTCCTTATCAATAAATAGAAACAAAATCGTGATTCACACAAATAGCTTAGTATCAGGCAGTATCAGGCAAATTACCACTTGCATAAAGGAAATAAATAATATCCTGTATACCCTAGTTTGTTAATAAATCACAAAGACCGCTGGATTTAATGTCATATTTTGATACAGATCAAATGACATTTTTGTTTCAATAAATAATAGCTTTGATATTATTACAGCATTAAGCATGCGGTCAATGGAATGCTCAAAAGTGGCTGCTAACTAAGGGTTCTAGAAACCGACATCAAAACATTTCCCCATCAGTTGTAATATTAGTGTGTCTTATACATATACGCCCATTATCACCTACGTAGGTAAGTAGGTAGATGACAAGTTAACGTTCGCTTCCAGCGGATGCTGATATCGCAAACTAGGTAGTTGTTGGTAGTCGTAGTATAGTTGGTAGTTGGATTGGTTCAATTGGATGACTCTGTGTTGTTGGTTTGGTTGTTGATTCTTCGTTACATCTGATCGGGTCGAATGACATGGCGGTGAAACTCGGCCCTGGATGGTGTGGCGTGAGTTACTCGATCTCCTTCTTCCAAACTCGTTCTGATCATGGTATTTCTTGTTGATTGGTAGTCGAATGGTAGTCATTGGTTTGATTTGGTTAGATTATCTAATAACTGTTCGAAAACAAGAGGACCTAAAAAAAAGAAAAAGAAAGAATGTGAGAAAAGAGGGGGAAAGGAAAAAAAATAGGGATAAAAGCTTTCGTATACCAGTGGTCCGTGGGTGGAGCCAAAACATTCTGTATAGTGAGTGGTATGCCGTTGGTTTCCAGGTAATATGTCAGTGGCTTACGAGCGGGTTTCAGTTCAGTGTATTGAATGAGGACATGCGACCTTGTGGCAACGTGGTCGCAGCGACATTTAATGGCGTTGAACTGATGGTCTCGTAGAAAGTTGTTGGTACGGAGTCTGGTTACCACTTTGCAGATGGCTACAGATGGATGGTTTGGTTTGGTTTGGTATCTTCGGATCAATCTGGTATCTAGCGGAGTCAAGGTTCCGTAGCATGCCGCCCCATTTCTGGTTGAGCCTTGAAGAGACGATACTGCAGAATTCCGAATACGAGTATTCCTCAGGCTCGATATCCTCCAGACTCAGACTTTCATTGGCACAACGGGCTGCTTGATCATTGCCAGGAATGGAGACATCTGATGGAACCCATACTAATTCAATCTTGCGGTTTTGTTGGTTTGGTTGTTGTGGACCATTCTTCTTATTTCGGCGATAACTTCTGACCTGCGATTAGAAGAGGTGAGAAAAATAGATTGGAGGCTGCTTAGCTAGTCGGATAGAATCACGGCATGCTCCGTGTAATTGATGGATAGCTAAGCTACCGCATCCCTAATGGCGAGAAGTTCTGCTGTGAACACTGAACAGTGCGGGAGGGGGGGGGGGGGTGTTCGTTTTACTAATGCGGATGCCTTTTGGTGGGATACACAAACCGTAACCTGTTGCTGTACTATCACCTACAAATAGAAGCCACTTTTAAGTAAATCGTGAGTCGATTGCGGAGAGTGTAGACCTTTTAAATACGGCAGAAGGTATATAAAGAGAAACAGATTTAAATGTTGAAAGTGCTATTCAACAACTTAACAATCTATTGTGTTGAAACTAATATGACAATCTGGTGTAAAGCAGGACTGTATACTGAGTCCATGGCTATTTGGCATGTTTATCAACGAATTAGCATTCATGTTAAAGAGAATGGGGGTAGTGGCATATTTTTTGTACCAGTCCATTGACGACATATTCTATTCGCCGAAACAAGTTTAAATGTCCTTGCATTGTATTTTGGTTCGAAAGTATGGGGTAAAGATATTGAAAATGTACATAACAAATTTTGTAAATGGATTTTAAGTACTGGTAATAAAACAACAAACGCTATTACCAGAGCAGAGTGTGGTAGACTCGAACGAAATATAAACTATATATGTAATCCAATTACATATTTTCTTAAATTGCAATGTATGGATACTGATAGGCTTCTCAAACTGTCGTATCAAATACTGTATAAACAGGATCTAAATGGTAGATATAATTGGTGTACATCAATTAAAATATGCTAAATCGATTAGGTTTTGGTCACGTATGGTTAAACCAAGGAATGGGCGATATACCTACATTCTTGTTCAACCTAAAACAACGTCTCAGAGATATCTCTACGAAAGTTTGACATAACTACATGTTGGAATCCCCAAAATGTGAATTTTATACTAAAATAAAAAAAGGTATATATTGTGAATCATACTTATATAGCTCTATGTGTCATTCGTTACGTTTTATTTAGCAATTCTTGAAGGTCGCCGGTATGGTATACCAAGACAAAATAAGTTGTACACATTATGTAATTATAAAACTGTTGAAAATGAATTGCATTTTATTGCAATATGTCCAATTCAATCAGATCTTAGGTGAAATTTTATTCCCCCATATTACTGAGACTACCCAACTGATAATTGTCATCAGCTATTTCGTTCAGATAACCAGTGTATTGTACATTATTAATCTCGCTATATGTATAAAAAAAAGCAACCGACATAAGAAACGAAATGTTGAGGGTTTAATTATTTGTAATATATATTGCTTCTGTATGTGGTTAAAAAGAAAGAAAATAAAAATATTATATTGTGAATGATTGTATTATGTTCCCTTGATTATTGTATTTAAATACATATCTGCATAGCACTTTATATTGTTCATGATTTATAAAGTTATGCATCTTTAAATAATATAATTTCGAATATTGTACAATTATATTATAAATTATGCACTGTACATTATGTAAGTGAACTATAGGCTTATTGCCTTATGGTCAAATGAATAAACATATTATTATTATTATTTTTATTACTAAAGGGTGGTGCCTAGCAGGGGTTTTAATAACACGCATAGGCATAATAACGATTAAAATGGCATTACTGATGTTCTCTTCAACACTTTTGAAGTTTTGATGGCTTATTTTTATCCTGTAAAGTTCAGACATATTAAAAGGAATGCGGTTTGGTTTGGTTTTTGGGCAATATTTATATCAATATAAATATGGTCTTCAACCAAATAAAATTTAAAAGCTGATTAATTAATAGTCCATTGTGTAAGTGTAATTACTTATGATTATAATGATGTTGATCACTCTGACATTAATTAATAGTAATTTAAATGTATAACCAAAGGAATATATATTTATACACTATAAACTAACAACGATCAGGGATAGAGACTATGATAGGGGCTGACTCCCGGAAGAACTGGCAAATGACAATCCATCCATCAACCGACTGGGCTATTCCACTGCCACAAAAAAGATGGTGGTTCAACCTAGGGTTAGAAATGAAATTTTTTTATCTTGTAGATATTTATTCAACATAAAATATACAATTATACAAAATATTACAGTATATGCAAAACTAAAACATGTATCGCACAGTTATTATATAATTAAAATCAAAATATACATTAATATCAAAGGAGAATACTCCTTAATGGAGTTAAAATACGGTAAAATATTAATACTGTATTATACTATTTACACTATTTCCATTATGGTATGGAGCTTAAAAAATATTACTGTAAGGCTTCAAATTGTGGACACTAGCTATGACAATGTTTCTCTAAAATGGGTTAACACGTACTATAATAATTAAAAATTAAAAACTTGATTAAAAAATCATGAAAATTTAGAAATGAAATGAATAGAGTTTTAAGTCCTACTTTTCAGGAAGACGGGCAACGCCATGCAGTGTACATTGAGGACAATTTTTTCGAATTCCAACTGTAGAGGGATCTTTAACGCGCACAGCCTGTATCACACATCGTCTAAAAGTTTACCAAAAATACAAATCTATTCTAACAAAATAGTACATTTGAACAATATTCATAACATGTATGCTGTGGCCTCACAGGGTTAACCATAAATGACGTCATAATTGCAAAAGCTACTAATATCTAATACCTGAGTGATAGCTACGTCATAATACTCTGAGTTTAAAAGGAATTGTATGACTGACAGACTTCTTTTTTTGATTTCGGCTTTTGTAACATAAAATGGAATAAGGAACTTAATATTTTCATATCACGTCTATCATGCTATTTTCGGTACACACTAAACGGCCATTGGAATCCCCTGGTTTTACAATTTCTAAATTTGTTAATGTCAACACTATAATTATGTATTTTAAGTTAAACATATAAAAAGAAAAAAAATGTTCATTGTTAATTTTTATATAGAAAAATCTAACATACTGTTAGGAGGTTAGTATGTAGGCTAATAATTAAAAACATAAAAAAAGAATTACAAATAAAAAAAAGTGTTAATTTCTGGATAGTCTTATAATTGACTTCAGAGAAATGTATATACTTCTGTTTATCATTTGGTTGATGAATGTTAATCACATCTAAATCATCCACAGGCTCAGGAGACTGATTATCGCGGTGAAGGCAGCTCCGAATCCTGTAGTACACATAACTTTATTTCGTGAGATTGAAAGAGGTTTGACTTGAAGAACAAATGATGTAAATTTAGTAATAAAATTGTTCTCAATTGCTAATTTGATAGCATCTTGTTTGGCTTTTTCCGATTCTGTATTATTGTAAATTGAATATTTTTCAATCAGTTCTTTGATTTTTTGGAAATCCTGCAATTTCTTGTTGCTGCTATTTTCATCAACCGGGCGAATAGTCACGGATTTGGATGTCATTTTCAAATCCAAGTTTCCATCCTTAGAAATTCCTTGAACTAAAACCGTATCAGCTGGAAGAACACCAGACTTCTTTAATTTTCCCGCAACAACAATCTCGGTTCCGTTAAAATACTGGTAGAACTTGTTGTTAGTGGTTGAACTTAATTCTACATATTTACTACCATAGTTAACTTTAACATCTAACAGCAAAGGATCTTTAATTTCATTATAAATATCCACAAGTTGTTCAGTAGCGTCTTCACCTTCATAAATTCGTCGTGAAAATCCATTATTTTCATAGGTCAGGTTCTTCAAGAAATTATAGTTCAAATTAAAACCAAACCCAAGACAATATATAGCTGCAAAGCCTTTGTTTTCTTCGATAACATTCTTTCGTATCTGTTCCGTGTTTGTTATACCAGTAGATGGCTGTCCATCTGTCAGAAAAAAAATAATCTGGGCTCGCATGTCATTAATAGAATTTGATCTTAAAGATTGTATGGCTTTCAGGAGGGCGTCGTTAATATTAGTACCTCCAGAAGCCTTAAGATTGTCATTAACAAATGTCTTCGCTTTAGCAATATTTTCAGAGCTTGCCAGGGCAGGCATAGATAACCAGGTCTGCACAGAAGTGGAGAATTTAAGAATATTTAAATAATCGTTAGAATTCAGATTATCTAAAATAGTTAGCATTGATTCCCGAACTTGTTGTATTTTGGTACCACTCATTGATCCACTATCATCTATTACAAATAGAATGTTCTTGTCTATGGTCTGAAGTCCACTTGGTGTAAAGTAGTGAACAAAATAGTATCCTTCTACAATTACATTACCAGCGTCTTTTTCGTGTTTCAAATCATACTCAATTACAAGTTGTCCATTTATTCCTTTTGACGACACTGTAACGTTGAGTTGACAGAATATGGTTGCTCGTTTTGCAGGCGACTCTGGATATTGACTGTTGAGAACCGTTCAGTTACTGACGACGCTATCGTATAACTCTTCATTGTCAGCCCCGCATCGTTGTCATCTCTTTTGAATCTGTCGATCGATTCTCTATCATCTACAGATTGTCCCAGTTGCAGAACACTTAGAATAAGTATGACTCTTACGATGTTATCCATGTTGAAGTATACTACTCGCATGAATGCAAATTATGAAATTTATGCTTTTATATTTCGCATAAGGAACCTTAAACGTTGCAATAAACAATTTTCGTACAAGGAAGATAGATGCATATATTCATTGCTGTATTCATAAAAATTAGTACGCTGTATTAGATGTCATATTTTGATACAGATCAACCTTTTTTTCAATGACTGATATCTTTTATCTTATTATACAAGATAACTTGCCAGGTAAGGTAATATACGCCCACTTACAGCTCTGATTTTCAATTAAAATATTTGGCAGTACAGTAACAATCACTAGAATGTAAATATTAAACCATCAGTCATACACTTGTTTTGAACTTTTTGGAGATACTGAATTATATTACTAGGCTTTGTCAAAATCCGGCAAGCATCGTGCCTTATTAAGTATTTACTAGTTAAAATTGAATGTTTTTCCAAGAACAAGGGCAATCACTTTTTTTTTTAATGCTGTTCATCCATGGGTAATAAAAACAATTTCACCAAATTTTGTCAAAATCCGTCGGGAATTGTGCCTTTGTGGAGCTAAAAATTGATCGGGTTTTCAAGAAAAAGGGCAATAACTCATACTAAATATTTTTCGATTTTTCTGATTTTCAGTAGGGTTCATCCTTGGGTGATTACAAACAATCATACTATGTTTCATCAAAATCAGTCAAGAATTGTGCGTTCTATAGTGTTTACGGACGGACATGGCAATATACTCCTTCCATTTCATGTGGGCGTATGAAAAATAAAATAAATAACATCCTGTTAAATCTTGTTTGTTAATGCGTCACAGTGACCGTGTCACATTCTAGAATTTATTACTTTATACAATTTATGCATGAACCCTTAAATTAATTGAATAAACTATAATGCATATTATTAAGTACAAAGTCAGAGCGCATCAAAATCAAGTTTTGTAGTATAATAGACGCCACATTTTAGTTTCATCCGATATATAGATGAAACTTGCACTCTATGCTTATGTGTACAACGGAAGCACACGAAAATATTTTTGAATGGGCGTTTTCTTCGATTGAAATCCTTAGACACCCTATTAGAACTTGGGGTCCAATGCATATGACATTTTTACAATAATTCGATAACAGATGTTTACTTATCTTAAAGGGGCATTATCTTGTTTTTGTAGGTCTAAAAAGTATATTTTGCTCAAATTAATGACAACATCAAAATCTTGAGAAATATGTCACTTAACGTGTCATATAAAAGAATCACTACCACAAAAATGGGTAGATATTATCAACTCGTCCTCATTTGTAGTCCATACTGGTGAAAATCATTTCAATATTGATGGTAGTGAAATCTCATATGATCAATTGACTTCCAAATTCTGCTACAAAGTATTAATAAAACTTAAAGATGTTACCCCTACAGGTGTTAAACACTGGGAGAAGCAGAATTTGGAAGTCAATTGGCCTGCTACATGGGCTAATATTTTTAAAATCTATAAGACACCAACAATGATAAACCTAGATTTTAAAATTGCCCATAATGTGGTATGGAATATGGTAAAGCTGAAGAGAATAGGGAAAGTCGACGGAGAGATGTGCCCAGTATGCAACGAGGAACCCGAAACCACGGAACATCTTTTCGTCGACTGCCTAGATCTTAGTCTGTTTATGTATTTACTCCACCAAATGTTGTCTGATATTTTACCTTCTCATTTTAATAATCATGATTTCAAATGTTTTATTTTATTTGGTTTACAATCAAATAAATCAATTCCCAATGAGCTTTTAAATATAATTTTATCATGTGCCAGACAGACCATTTATATCCACAGAAATATATGTATAGACAATCCCGACTGTAATATAGATCTTGTTTGTTTTTATAAAAATATTTTGGCCAGTGCATTAATATATTTAAAACAATTTTATCCTAGGCATACTTTTATTCAAAAGTTTATTCTACCGTCATGTTTTATCAACATTACCCTTGATAATACAATTGATATTGAATTTTCTTAGCATTTTATTGTTAAATATACATAAATAATATACTTATTATATTTATTTTACCATGTATATAGATTTGAACATTTTATAATAACCCACTTACCATCTTAATTTATCAGTATGGACCAGTCTCTATAGCCCTATAGATTTAATCATCATTACACATTCCTTTATATCTTGTGTCAACACTAGCAGACGACGCTCTAGGTTTTACTAGAGCAATATTTTAACCCCGTTTTTCATTTTTTTAAGAAATATCCTTATGGATCTTTACAACTTTCGGTTTCATATGTAAAGATCCATCAATAGGGATACTTCTGCATTTAAGAAACATCATTTTCATTTTATCATATACAACTTTCAAATTTTCATGATTTTTTAATCAAGTTTTTAATTTTTAATTATTATAGTACGTGTTAACCCATTTTAGAGAAACATTGTCATAGCTAGTGTCCACAATTTGAAGCCTTACAGTAATATTTTTTAAGCTCCATACCATAATGGAAATAGTGTAAATAGTATAATACAGTATTAATATTTTACCGTATTTTAACTCCATTAAGGAGTATTCTCCTTTGATATTAATGTATATTTTGATTTTAATTATATAATAACTGTGCGATACATGTTTTAGTTTTGCATATACTGTAATATTTTGTATAATTGTATATTTTATGTTGAATAAATATCTACAAGATAAAAAAAAAAACGTGTCTGAAAGTTTTAACTGAAAAAAAAACCGCCAAAAATATTTAAAAGTTTAATTAAAAATTTTAAGTTAATTATTGTTTTTGGTAGGCGTAAAAAAACTACTTTACGGATTTAGGCTAAATTACACGCCAAATTGTAGAGAAATGTGTCTCCTACGTATTCTGAAGGTTTCAACTGGTGATATGAAGCCATTATAAAACCAAACACCAAAACTAGGTCAAACTGCTTTAATAATTAATACTCTATTTTGATAAACCCATTTAAAACAAAGTCAATTTGATCAAGAAGATACATAGATGTAAAAAATCTTGCGCATACTTCCCCTTTAATTTAATCAAAATTCGTTGGTATATTAACTCAGTTGATAAGCTCGAGAGATGATTTGCATATTGTATAGTGCATCACAGTGTTTAAGCTTTTTATTTCGGAATGAATAATTCAAATCTATATGGGAGTAATTATTTCATGATCTGGTGTCCCATTACACCAAAAATCTCTAAAAAAAAGTTATCTTAAGTGCAATGGATATCAAGTAAATAGACACAAGTGCAAAAAATTATGTTTTGTTTCATATCAGAGAGTTATCAAGACGTTTTCAATGGTAATACTAAACCTGTTTGATACAGAGGGGAGTATTACGATAGCTTGCAAGACTTTGTTTAAATTTGACATTTTAACATCTATCTCTGTGAAACTGGCTTACAGTCATAATTACATTTCTTAAACTGTTGTTTCAAGAGTGTTTACATCAGAACTTATGAAGGCAGTTAAACAAGGACCACAACTCATAATAAACTATTATCCTACAAACACATATTGGTTCCAATGTTACAGCCTTCAGGGATAATCCTGATAAAAAAATTATGCATTAAATATTTTATTGTGATTATCTGTTTACCAATGATACATCAACATTTTTATCATTTTGAATCCATGTCCTCTGAAGGTTTTGTTTTTAATGTCTTTGTTTGCAAATACTCGTAATCTTGAACGACCTACCTCTGATATTTAAATTACCAGAATCGCGTGATCACATGAGAATACTGCCATTCATTACCTTGATATGTTGCAGAGCGCAAGCGTAACTTCCATGGTAGGCCGTTTTGTCAAGGACTTAGACAATGAAAAGATAAAACCATGGCAAAAAAGTGTGGAATTTGCTTTTTTTGTATACCATAAGTGATACTTTTCACTTTTCATGCTTTCTTGCCAAGGACATAGTAAATCCTAATTGTCGTATAGTATTTCGTGAGATTTCTGTATGTCATGTTTCTAAGATCTAGGAACCAAAATAGATTAATATAATTGTGAACTATAGCAAAGTAACTGGAGTCGCCACAGCTCTACAGGAAACGCAGTGAGATGAATATTATTCATCGTCTTGGAACCTTATCACCTGCAGGAATGAACAAACAGTTCTCATATTTAAATTAGTTTACAATCTAATGTTTCTGTGACCTATATCTTGTGAGTTTACTATCTCCCTTGAAAAAATTATTTTCTTTCATCTCACTAAGCTGAATGTGACATTTTTTGTCAGTTTAGTGTTTTTCTTCGTAGAGATAGCACCTTTCTCGCTTTTTTTGTTTTTTTCGCTTGATAAAGGGATTAGTCCCGAAACGTAGCTACATTTACACTAATTGTATCGACTTTTTACCTACTGTTTGCACGTTATCTATTTTGAGATTATTATCTCCCTTGAAAAAATATTTTCTTGTTTGTGTAACTAAGCTGAGTCACCATGTTCAAACCACACCCCCATTCCTCATACTTCCTACACCCCTATTCCTCATACTTCCTCGGAGCCGCGGTAACACAAGTGGAGAAAATTACGTATTCATAGGTAAATATTATCCAATCAAAATTGGCCCTACTGTATTGGTAGCTAATTTCAGCCGATCAAAACAAATCAATCGTTATGACGCTTTATTTGCGAACGTAAACAAAACGAAAGCAGCGTGCCATTACAGATTTTGACGAATATGTACGGTACACAATTGAGTAAGATTTTCGTTAAAGAATTGAAGCCGAGAGAAAATCAAACCTTACTTTAGAATATTGACTT